TTAGCACCGTACATACTTGCCGGTATTGTAATCGTTGTCAGTCCTCTGAACATTATCCAAAATGATCAGCTTCTTCATCTGCAGAAACTCAACATACCGGCTTGCCGAATTGACGTTGAGGGCAAGGTGACTGTCTATTGTGAATGTCTTTTGTGATAGATATTGGCTAAATGAACTAGCGATTGGTGAAGTAATTATTCTACGAAGAACCTGCCTCCGCCTCCGGTCCCGCCCACGGCCCCGCCCCCAACCCCCTACCAATATCTAATAAAATCAATTTAACAAAAATACAACGAAGTAACCATCGGATTTAATTGGTTAAAAAAAGTTCTAATAAGTGATGTTGAGGTTAAAAAACCTGTACATTTCCCATTGTCTGGTTAAAATATATTGACAAACTGTAAGTCCACATACTTCTGAAGTATTCAATACGTTTGATGGAACATGTAAATTATCATTAAAAATATTATGAAGCTAGGCAAGCGGTGTTGTGACTTTGGAATTCGATAATACAGAAAGTGTAAGGTTGCATGAATTAGTATTTATAATGTTTTATCTGTAGTGGTGATATATATCAAGACAGCAAATTTTATGTTGGTATATTTAAAAAAATTATGTCATAAGTATAATGGGGTGAGTTTTCCCATTACAGTCATTTATTGTAGAAAACGTCTGTTAAGAGTGTTTTAGGTTGTGTTTTTTATTACAAGTGGCTTACTGTGTAATTTTGTCTGTTTGAAGTGACATGACAGTATGATATTATGACAGCATGATGTACATGCACAACCTACAATATTTCAATATCCTAACCTTCTTGATCTCCAAACCATAAAAACTCACATGCCCAAAATACATATATTCATTTTACTTCTATTTGTAAATGTTTGTGTCCATTTGTCTTCTTATGAATCATATTTTTTTTCTCACTTTTCTGTTTTTTTATTTCTTCCTTTTGATGTTTTTGCAGAGAAACTAGCTTATTACAATGCCTAACATGAGATATTGTAACCAAAAATTATAACAATCTTGCTTAAGTTAATCTATAGAAATATTTCCAGGTGTACACTGTTGATGGAGACAGCTGTATGGCTGATGTCTTGACATCAAAGTTTAACATCATCATGTGTCATCCAGAGGGACTGTTAAACGTGATGAATGAGTTGAGAGACACTGAATTCTGTTCGAAAGAAATCAAGGCAGTCTTCATTGATGAGTGTCATATTGTTGAAGAATGGTAAGAAACAATGATTTGTTTGATTAAATATTTATCAACTCTAAGTAATAGCAAGATAACCAAACAACATGTTAATGTCAAAATATAATATGCATAATAATGTACTTTAAACACATTTATTCTCATTGTAATGAAGTTACAATTAAAATACTCATAAAGTAATAAGAGTCTGTCCTAGTACATGAACCCTAATTTTACCTGCTTTATTAATTTGACTTTCGAGTGTGTGTTCTCTGTCTTTTGCCATAAAGGGACAGCATAAAAAGTTAACATAATTAATCTTCTAATACAGGGGTAAAGAATTCAGGAAAGGATATCATTCCCTGAAGAATTTGCCAGCCGTATTCACCAATGCCATGTTCATTGGTTTGAGTGGAACTTTGACTGTTCTACAACTGGCAAGACTTCCTTCAGTTCTTGGAATGGTTGATCCTGCAATAATCCAGGATGTGCCGGATCGCCCAAACATCTACTTATCCAAAATATGCAAGGATAGTATTTATGAGTGTGGAGATGTTGTTGGAGTATTTGAAAACATTTATGTACCAGAAATTGACAAATTGTATGCCAATCCTGATCTGTACCCAGTTACCCTCATGTTTCTGCCTATGAAATACATGAGTGAAGCAGTTCGCTACATAACCCAAATGTTTGGTAAACAAACAATTCATGCATCCAGGTATTCATGTTTATATTCTACTCAAGACAAGGAAATTACTGATGTAACATTAGAAGAATTAAAGAAACCAGACCCAAGAATTAGACTAATATTAGCAACATCTAGTGCTGGTATGGGTTTTGACCCTGTGAACATAACAAGAGTCATTCACTGTTGCCCGCCCAGATGCATTTCCAGATATCTTCAGGAAATCGGCAGAGCTGGGCGGAGAAATCAGCAAGCAGAAGCCCTTTTGTATTTTGATAACAATGACATCAAAGCCAATCTGCCAGGCATACAACTGGATATCATAGAATACTGCAAAACAACATCATGTATGAGAACCCTTTTGTTGAATGTGTTTGGATTTGAAAAAAATGACAAAAGTCCAAAAGGATGTATGTGCTGCGTTAATTGTCGCTTCTGTTGTAAATGTAGCTCATGCTGTAAATAATCTGAAGAAAACTGATGTGCTCAACATTTCTGCAACTCTCAAATATAGTTACACACCATTATTATTGCAATGTGATATATCTTTGACCTCCTAAATAATAATAATATAGCCATGTTAATATATGTATGGCTGAAAAAGAACCAAGCAAACAAAGATATTGGATCAATGTGGGTCCAGTGTTGGAAGATAGCGTTGTACTCCTCCGGACTGATGCCGATTTATAGTGATAGCTCACTGAGATACCATGCCGCAGTTTAACATGAATACCCCACTCAGACACAGTATACTGACTCCGAGCCGACCAGTCCTTGTTTTAGCCCCTTAATGCCGAGCGCCAGACAGGGTAACAACAAGTACCATCTTTTAACGTTTAACTCATGCTGCTTAACTCATTGTGCTTTAATATTTGCTAACACCAAGTTCGTGTTTTATTTAGTTATTGTAGAATGGAGATAAACATACTGTGTTTTAAATGTCGAGATGCGCATTGGGTTCCACTTCAATTTAGCGCCATAATTTACAGGTAACCTAGCTCTACATTGAAAACATAGTATGTCTCCTAAATATAGAGTACATTTTAACATTAATAATTCCTCACTACCAAGAGATATGTACAATTTGTACACTGAAATCACAGCTTAAAATTTTTCCAATTATTTCTGTGAAATATTGACATATTCTTGAAGATGGCAACTTTATGATATAAAATGTGATATTGATATTTGCAGTTATCCTCTAGTTCCAAGAAAGCCTTTCCATTAAGGCTCAGATGAATAAAATAGTATTCACTTCTTCTATTGGTTGTTCACTGCTGTTAGGCCATAGGTTTTGTTACATGTCTTTCATTGTTACATACAAACATATTTATGACTTATAATTAATTCTTTATACATTTCAAGTGACTTGTCTGGTGCAATTGCATTTTTTACAGGCTAAGTTATACATTAGATCATTATTTTTAGAAGCCATTAATAGGATAAATTTATGAAGATATTTCCAATGCTTGAAATGGGTGTACTTTTTTTAAATAGAAAACAACCTACTACATACAAGCAAAAAGTGAAATTCATCTTCTGTTTTCGACTGACAACTTTTGACAAGGACTGGTAAGATTTTCAAGTTGTCAGTCCTGTGGTCTGGGGGAAATTTAATAGAAGTCTGCAACACTGTTAACACTTTCTTAAATATACCTTTGACACCTAGTTTTGGCAAACGTTTTCAAACTTTTCCTCTATCTACATAGGTGAAAGTTACACATAACTATCATCAGCCATCAGTATAACATTTTTGTCACACTAAATACACAGGTGAAAGTCACTCATCACTATCATCCAGGATTAGTATAACCAGCGTTAGAAATTGGCACTAGTCCTGTAGTCCTTGCCAAACTGCCCAATACTTAAGGTATCATCACTGAGGTATCATTAGGACGGTTAGAAAAATTCCATTTTTAAGGATTTTGCTATATCGTTATCATTATAAGGACTAGTGGACTAAACATGTTTGTTTCTACCACTGATAACATTTTTGTCACACTAAATACACAGTATAATATTTTGAGAATAACTATGTAGTAGCACCTTGTTGTCAGGGTAGTAAACACAACAAACGGCTACAGGTGTGAGCTGATGGATGTTTATTTTCTCAGAAGAGAGAGGGGAATAAATATGCTGTGAAACAATGTATAAATAATAAGACATACTGCACAAAAGACATAGAACAATGACATTGTTATAATATACACAATGGCCTTAAATCTAATGGACATTCAATTATATAACTTAAAATAGCGAGAAATAGCGAGAAACCTATGTTACTCATGTAGTAAGTAACCTGCAGAACGATACAGTAATATATACTCAACAACAAAAGTTCCTGTGACACCAATATTTTAGTGTATTTTTCAAACAAGTAAAGTTTGGTTTTCAATATAGTAGTACATATATGGAATCAAGTCACAAAACCGCAACTGCTACAGAAAAGCATGCATTTCATGCAAAAGTTGACTTTTATGCAATCCCCACGGACGGATTCGCGTATACCGACGTCGAGGTGAACGTTACGTTAATCATTGTGTCATGGAAGAAGATCGTTTCGAGGGCGGCATGAGGTATGAGAATTACTGCATGAGGTATGAGAATTACTATGAGTTTATTTAGGGTTTAGTTTTACTTAGTTAATGTTCAGGTTAAGATGATAATAGCCTAGAAAAAAATAACTATTTATCAATTAAAGAAACTTCTTTACAATCATGATAATACTTTATCATATAAAATAATCATAACCAGATACACTGAACTGTGAATTCAATACACAACCTGACTAGCAATAAACCTAGCACAACCTATTTCTAACTGTAAGATTTAGAAATACACAAATACATATAAAGCATCACAGAAGAAATACACTACAACTAACCTTCAAATCCATGAAATTAACACGTCCATTGGCTCCATGAATTAAATTCTGAATGTTTTGTTTGTTTGTTGTTTAACGCCGCACTCAGCAATATTCCAGCTATATGACGATGGTCTGTAAAGTAATCGAGTCTGGACCATACAATCCAGTGATTGACATCATGAGCATTGATCCACACAATTGGGATCGATGACAAGGATCAATCAAGTCAGCAAGCCTGACCACCCAATCCCGTTAGTCGCCTTATACGACAAGCAAAGTCGCCTTTAATAAAACTATGGCTAAAATAGAATTATAACATAAGTTGTATATACAAAATATCACTCTGCCACAACTACACAGGTGGAAGTTCATCATCACTATCGCCATCATCAGCAGCAGCAACCGAATCACTGGTATCATCAGACTGATTACATCTGTCATCCATGTCAATATGATCACCTTTCATCAATCTGAACACAATATCTTGGACTCTGATGAAAAGACTAGATTTTGTGAACTTTCTGAAAGGGGATGATACAATGCCCTTAAACCCATGACACTTTCTTCCTGCACAATGATGAAATGGCCTCAATTCATTAAGTGATTTTTGAATTGACCCTATCTGAGAAATACAAATCCTTTTGGAATGTCTGGTTGACTGTCGTTTGACTCCAAGAGATATCCTCAGGTTGTCACAAACTTTGAATATTGCACTTGCTGCACCTGTTGCTGTTATCATGGCGTTTTTGGTCTTGTTGGCACCAAGTTGTTTGATGAGCGCCTTCTGATTCTTTACGCTGTGTTCCTGCACTAGGTCAGCCTCAACACAATTTGAAATTCCTCCCTTGGTGTTAATGAAAGCTGTGTCAAGGACAAGTTCTTTCATCATTGGAGAGAGCAAGTAGCAGACTTTAATGAGAAAGTCAATATTCTCCACAAAATATTTACTCTGTGAAGAATGGGCAAAAAAGAATGGAATGTTCATCTTGGCATTATGGATAAGTCTATCACTGTCTCCCTCTTTGGCTGTGTCATCAAGCTCCATTAAATGGAGAGCCCAGTGGGATAGTTGCTGGCAATAACTGTAGACTTCATCAGGTTCAAACTGAGACTTTTCTTCCACCACTGTACCATCAGCATTTACATGAAAAATCAAATACATTCTTTCACAAGAATCCTTGAACGTTAAATCAAGGTATCCATAGTGGACAAGGAAAGCTCTTAAAACTGCCTCTGACGCTGTGGTTTTCTCTTCCAAAGACAGGTTGAAAACATCAACAGGAATATTCTTCAAAGCTGTGTTGTTGTCATCAGTGATACCAAAGTATTCACGTGCCTGTTCCACAATAACAGCTTTTCCAACATGAACAAGTAGGTCATGATGAGACTGAAAATTCCTCTTAACATTTCCATTAACATTTGTCATGTTAAACTTGGCTTTGTAGAAGTATAGCGTCCCTGGCTGTCTAATTGACCTTGGGCTGAACAAAGCCTTGTATGCCTTCTGTGAAAAAAAATATACAGTGTCAGTGTATTATATAAACATAGTGTGATGGCACTGTTACATAACTCACGAGCAGTCAAAAGTTTTAACACTTGACTTTCCGTATTAGAATCCTGACATTGATGTGAAATACAAGTTGTTACTAGTATATCATAAGGAAATATATTTTTTCTTTGCCCTCATAAAATGTTTCTGTTGGCTATCTAAATATTTTCGTTTTCATAAATATGTATAAATGAAATACAAAGGCACATGACATGAAATTGTGACAATATTGATAATTTGATTGGTATAATGTGAACAAATGATGTTGCAAGGTCGAGTCCAGTCAAGTAAAGATGAAATACCTCCAAAAAGTCCTGCTTGTTGTGCCACCATTCAATAACAAATGGTCCAAGATCATCAAATCTTTTGGCAGGTGTAGGAGAAAGTGCTCTGAGACTCTTGGCACCCTCAAGCCTTACCCTGGTGAGCTGATCCCCACCGACTGGAACATGAAGTTCCCTTAGCGCTGATTGGTCACCTGTAAAACGAGAAAATAATTTGAATATAATATTTATTAGTTAGATAATCATTTCAAATTGTTATTGTTTCTAAAAGTAGATTCATCTAATTCCACAATGATAACCTGTTGTGACTACTGTTATGATACTACACAAATCCCATGAAGATCCATGGTAGAATAGGTCTTCAGCCACACGATTATTTACAGACCACCATCATATAGCTGAAATATTGCTGAGTGCGATGTTAAACAAAAAACAAACAAAAAAACACATACAAATTTTAACAAACAAATATGTGCAACTTTTAATTAAATAAATCTATTTTTAATATCCATTAATTAGTGTCATAACACTCATATCAGATTACATTTACGTTGGGTACTGATGCATTCAATTGAAAACTACTCTAAAGTGCAATAAAGTGTTTCAGGAAAAGATGATTTTATTTACAATTAAGAGCAATATGAAACATGTAAATGAAGTTGTAATCATCACCATGTGCACTTGTAAAGAGTTCTGTCAACTGATCCTCATAGCTATCAAGAATCTTCACACATTCTTCATACTTGGCTTCATTGCTGAATAACAGTGGCATGGGATGTACCTCTGTCTTCATGGATGCTGTTTTACTGTGGCTGTGTGGAATGTGTGTTGGGATGTTGAGCCATGATAGTGCTGGAATATCCTGAAATAATGGATTGAAACACAATGAATAACAGCTAACAGATGAAACAGATAACAGTTACAGCTGGCATGAAATCAATAACAATTTCTCTCACATCAAAGCATTTGAATTCAAACCCTTACAAAATATGTCAAACCTAAACAACTTCCTAATCCACAGCTAAACAAAAGGATCTATAAAACTTTATGTTTCATTCATTTAGATATTAGTAAATCTGATCTGAGCATGCCAGATATTAATAACATATATTATATGATTCTTAACCTTCAGTATTCTGCCAATGAGAACAATATAAGCTGAGGATAACTTGTTCAAAGTGTCTTCATTCGGGAGGACATCAGATGCGTTGATGCATGTAGAGGATAGAGGTGGTGGTGAAGTGCTCAAGTTAATGTCAGCAAACTTGGAGAAAATGATGTTTGATGCAAACATGTGAAGATCCTTGTTGTCATTTTTAGTTGATCCTACTTTAGATGACCTGATATAGACATCCAAATTGTCTCCAGTGATCTATAAGAAATGAATCATATCACATTCATCATGTTCAAATACTGCATTAATTCAGTCATACAACATTAAAATGATAACTAATGGAACACATAGAAGACATATTTCAATGTAACAGTGCTAAATAATAAATTAACTTGTTGTGTTCTTTGCATTGAGTAATTACCTTGATCAATGGATTACATTGTAATGATCGAACAATGTTAAGCTTTGTTTGAGTCACTGCCTGGGCCATCATTCGGAGTTTGGTAGTTGGGGATTGGCACAATCCAATGTTGCTCAGTAGTACCATACTCTGTAAATAACGTCATAGAATGTGCACCGGAAAGCCTGGATTAGACATACAATGACTGAAAAAGAAGTCATATTTCAATTTAACACAGAAATTTAATTTATCAACATAATTAAAATGGGACAGTATAAAAATTTATAAAAATGGGGGGACATAATTTCTTAATCAATTTTAGCATTAAACATCAGACAAAATACAGGTTCTGATGGGCTAACACATATATTTAAAATGTTTATTTTTTTTAAAACAATATTGTTTCCAAATAGACATGTGTCCATGACCATTGTAAACTGGTAATGTGTATATGCCATGTACATATATATATATATTAATTACAACTCTATCCTCAAAATCATTACTATCAATAACAAATGCTTTATAGTACTGTACCTGATCTTCTAAATGTCCTCTTATGAGAATGCATCCCACCATCTTATGCCATGCTGTTAGATGGATGTTTCGCATACGCATCAGTATGGAGTATGATGACGTTATTGCAGCCACTTTATTGAGTGGAATTTCACCATCCATACATCCAGTTACAGTGGACATTACAGCCAACAAGAATGGTGCCCTAGTAAAACAGTATGAAACTAGCAAATTTGAACTATATTTTGATGCCTTCCACGTTCTCAGAATAAGGGCTGTTTCTTCAGTACAATAAAAGCAGGATTACTTAGCAAATGAACAACACAGTGATCTTGCCATATATTTTTGGTAAACATAGTCAAAGGTACATAATTCATTCTAGAGGGAGTTTAGTGTAACCAAATAAGCTCCTCTTCACATAACACTGTTATCACCTGACATGCATAAGTATTCAAATAAAATAACCACTACATATAAAAGACTACAAGAAAGACATTATAACCCATTAAATAGAGGTCACTTGTTCTTTCACTTTCAGGTAAGCTAAAAAATGATGAAGAAAAGGCAAATTAGTGTAGCTGACAAGGTAAAAACATCTCACCATAAAAAGAATCATGTCATTTCAGTTTATGTGAGCTAAAAGTTGAGGGATTCAACCAATGTTTTGGTAACTTTTGTACTCAAGCTTATATTAAAACTAGTAGTATATTACTCATATAACAATCATGATAAAAGTTTTATTACAATTAAAACATGACATTTTTCCCCAAATATTACCTCATATTGTAAATTCACTCATCAAATTAGATTACCTTTCTTTCATCTCCTGAAATACCTGACCTATATAACAATCATGATAAAAGTTTTATTACAATTAAAACATGACATTTTTCCCCAAATATTACCTCATATTGTAAATTCACTCATCAAATTAGATTACCTTTCTTTCATCTCCTGAAATACCTGACCTATAAAGTCATGGCTATCTGTAAGATTCTGCAGACTTGATTGCTCCCTGAGAACCGATGGAGATGATAATGATGATAGCTCTTGACAGTCTGACTGTAGCTGCTGTATCACTCTCTCGTTTATTTTATTTCTTGAACTGGGGTGGGACAAAAGTAAGGTCACAACTTGCTCCAAGTCCTCAGATGCAACTGCTTGCATTAGTCCATGTAAATATGTCTGCTGTGGCTGTTTCCCAACTTCAGCAAATGACTCTAAACAGCGAAAAATACTGGTACCATTGTTGTATTTTTTCCATATATCAGAATCTATTACTCATCTGATAGAAATACTAAAAATATATATATATATTTCAGTTTACGCTTTTGATAAATGTAGATGGCTTCTGTAGTTATTTAAATTAAAGAAGACATTAACTTTCTCCTATCAAATAACATTTTTATCTCTTCAAAACATAAAAGTAGAATTGGTCCTATTAGATACTTAATTTCATGTATGTACCATGAGTTGAAAATGTAGATGGTAGCTTTTGTTTTGGTGGCAAATCCAAACAATAGTTGTGTTCACCAACTGCAGCCTTTGGTTTTTCAACGGGTCCTGTCCCTAAATGTTCAGAAATAGACAACAATATCAGATAAGCAATCATCAGGACAAGCATGAGTACAATAGGTGCAAAGGAAATATTGTATTACGCATAAATCATATGTGAAACACATTTTTCCAATAATTTATTAATATAGCTTATTTCATTTCAACACATTTACAAACATTATTATTTACTCAAAGTATTTTCTATTACTCTAATAGTATTATGTGTAATATACCACAGGCCATTTACCATTAGAACAGATTTTGGTACACGGTGAGGCTGCATAAATGTGTTCAGCTTCTTTTTGCACAGAAAAAGATGATGCTATATTCAAAAATAAGAAAATACATATTAGGCCAATGAAAATTTATGTTTTTTAAAGATATGACAAAGGAAAACTAATTCTTAAATAATCTACAGCTAAATCACATTACTTCCTTATACAACCAAAGTTCCTTTCAAATTTCATATTTACAGTAGAATACAGTACAAATGTAGTATCAGTATCTCTAACTCTGTATGTATCTATCATCTGTGAAAAAAGGGAGAAATAGGCCATACCATCTGATTCTTCATTATGGGAAGCAGGTGAACTTCTCTTGTTTTCAGTGTAACTTGTGGCATTCTTTTTGCACGTGGAAAGGTCAATGTTAAACTCTGTGAATGTAAATGGTACTGCCAATCATTTAAATGTAGGAGCTGACACTGCCTAGTTACAAATTGTCTGGTAATACACAATTCTGGTAAAACATCATCAATCACGACACACACCAAAACTACAAATATTGGTATTACATAACTATTAATCCAGTGTTAGGTCATTTTAACTGCACCAATGTAACATAACTAGTAATTATTTTTTATACAGAGTACAAATATGTACATTATGAAAAACAGATGCATCTATGTACCTAGCTTCCTTCAATGTACACTTTGAGAAGAGCTGACATAACTTACTTAAGAAGTTTCTTATATTAAAACATATCAATCATTATTTAAGGAAAGGTGTCCCTTTAACATAAAAATTTAAACACAAAAAATAACATTTTTATTTTGCACTAAAGTTATTTTTGTTGTTGGAAAACATACAACATTAATAATAATAAGGATATTAACACAAGAATATATTATTACATCACAAAGTAAGAATACACACAGTGAATAAGTATTCTCGATGTGTTTGCCTTTGACCGGAATCGAACCGAGTCTAAAGATTACTCTTTCAGACTACCATTCAAAAGCTTCATTACATCTAATTTCAATGTGAAAATATGTACACTTTGTTATTATGCAAATCAAAGGGTTAACCCATCATCAGCGTCAGAAACTGACACAAGTCCTTCAGTCCTTGCCAAAACTGCCCAATTGTTAAGGTATCATAAAGACTAGTAGAAATTTGCCATTTATAAATGTTAATAAACTTGCAGAAATAGTATATCATATGTGTGAACATTCCACACTTCTAAAAACATAAATGTATGAAAATATAAAAGGGCACTCACTGTAAATGACGATGAAAGCAATACCAGTCGGTCTTGCTTTAGCCATCAGAGGATGTTGAGCTCCAGCAATGCAATAATATGTTTTGCAAATATTTTAGCTTCTACCTCATGCTTAGTTAAAATTCTTTGCAACAGATGAATCACAATTCCAAATGTGTGCTTGAGGTTTCAAAGTTGATTTATCAAATGAGACATATGCAATAAAGCAAGAAAATCTATTTAAGGGTCCCAAAAGATCTCCTAACAGCACTTAGTTTAACCATGAATAAAATAAATAAATATTATTATTATCATTATTACGTATTATGTCTAATAAACAGACTAGTCTACTCATTTCCGGTTAGAATGATAGTGACAACAAACAGCAGTAAACAACTCAAGATAAGGAACATCGGATGGGCTGTTGAGAAGGAGGTTAGGGGCATGAAAAAAAGTTTCATATTTTCTCATGTACGGGAACGCTCACCTGAAATATCCTCAACCTCGCATGCAATTGATTGCCGCTTGCTGTCAGGTGTGGAACAATCCGTCAATAGTGAATGCCTTTTGATTTTGTTATCTCTGCAAATATATTTCTTCACGCTGGTTTGCAATCCATCCTTAAATTTCATAAAGTTATTTATTTTTATGAAACAGTTTCTACACAAACCAGCTTCGTGGTGATGCAGCAAAGAAACTGTCTCGGCATCCAACAGAAAACACAGTTTTGCAAGAATATTATCCTCGACACACTTCCTGCCAGACAATTTAAAAGAAATGGAATTACCTGATGACAAACAAACAAAACAATTAATAGGGTATAATTTCGTCTGCTCTATCACGGCCATTCGCGTAAACATAAGGTCACCTGTCTGTAGTTCGATAGGTCACGATTAGGCCCTAGCTCCATGCATGGCTGTAGTCGCCTTACACAGTGTGAAGTTTTGACTGGTGGCAGCGATAGTATAGAGAGCTCCGGGAACGTACTATCGCTGTGAGGAGCTTGATGACGTCATTGGTGCCAATTGATAAACATTATGACGTCATCATGCTTTGTTAGAGCCGCTTCACGTGGTGTAGGTACAGGTGTGTGATTCTAGCGTCACTGATGCCAGCCAGCATAGTGTTATGCTGAGTCACCACTGCGCCGGAGTGCGTCGTAGGCCATGTTGTTTTACCGCAAACTGGTACTTGATATCTTTTGCGTTGAGAATAGACAGGGACCCAGTTGAATTGGCACCAATTACGTCATAATCTAAGGGGGGTAACTCAGGCCTGTTTAGCTCGAAAAACGAAGGCCTCATAACGGCATATCATTTTCACACTATTGTGACCTTTCTACTTTCACTGTGAAAAAAATGAGTGTATATTTTCAAACACAGATACTAATTAATTCTAAAATTGCGTTTTGTTTAGAAAAAGAAAGAAAGTGATTTTTGCGTGTACACTTCCCCTTTAAAGACCTGTTAATTAAAGGGAGTAGGGGAAAAACAAAGGGGTCAGTAAACATGAGGGGTTCAGGTGTGTGTGTGTGTTAAAAAAAGACACTGCAGATCTCTTTGGAAGAATAATGACAATCATCCCTTTCATATTTTTCTCCATTTGGAATATGAAGCTTGAGCTTATGATAACAATGACATACAAAGGATGGTTGGTTGTTTGTTGTTTGTTGTTTGTTTTTTAATGCCGAACTTAGCAATATTCCAGCTATATGATGGCGGTCTGTAAATAATCAAGTCTGGACCAGACAATCCAGTGATTAATATCATGAGCATTGTTCCACGCAATTGGGATCAATGACATGCATCAACCAAGTCAGCGAGCCTGACCACCCGATGCTGTTAGTCGCCTCTTACGACAAGCACAGTCACCTTTAACAGCAAGTGCAAGGTCATGATGACATAGCTAAGGGACCAGTCATTTATTATTGGGGTGCTATATATTTATCACTACAATTACTGAAGAAAATAAGGCAACATGTTAAAAGAATCACTTACATAGCAAACATTCATAGGCTGAAACATGAGACTTTAACTGCATCTGTTCCAAAGAATTAGATCATACTAAACAGAAATTGGAAAATTTGAAATTCAGGCTTTTTGAGACTAGTCCAGAGGACCAGTAGATACTTCATATCACTAGTCCTCAGAGTTTGTAGCTAGACCTGCATGGACAAGAGAACAATATATACTACTGTCAGTTTTATTCAGTTTCAATTTGTAGAAAAATGGAAGCACTAAGAGTGAGTGAGTGAAGTAGGGTTTAACACCGCTTTTAACATTATTTCAGTCATATCACGGCATGTCAGCTTAATGTGGAAGGAAAGCCCGAAGTGATGCAGGTCTCAGACGTTTACCACTTCGGTGAAACCCACGAGCACGGGTATGGTGCTGACAAACTTAGAAACATAATCGGGGCGAACCAGGATTTGAACCCACAATCATAGGTTTCTGGCATCCCCAAGGGACGCAACTCTGCACAGCGAATTGCAGCGCCTTCGATGACTGGGCCACCTGTGCCCCCGGAAGCATTTAGAACTGGTTCAGACTTCTCGCCCTCAAATTGTAGCAGTCAATGAGGATTACCATCATTGGTTTTATACTTGTCCTCAAGACAATTTAGTGAAATATGAAGTCTGTTAATATCTTACATCACGGAACACTTCAGGCATCATCAATCATAAAACACATATTATCACAGACTGTTGCACAAAAAATACTCCCAAATATTCATTTAGATGGAGACTTTTGCCTTTCTCTTATCAAATATAAGAACTTCATGGGACAAACTTATTTTTCCTTGCCTTACAAATGAGCCTGTCCCAAATAGAAACCAAAGATTATAACGTTATATCCAAACTTTGTTCTTGTTGTATGTTTTAACTTATCATACAAAGAGGTCTTTTATTGCTCCAGGAAATCGACAAGTGAGTGAGAGTGAGTGAGTGAATATTGCTTAACGCCGCATCAGCAATTTTGCAGCAATTCGCAGCGAGGAAATCGTCAAGACAGGAAATATAATTACTCTGGCTTTATGAACCATGGGCCATACTATTTAAATTTTATGTTTCACAGATTTATTCAATTATTAAAAATAAAAATGAATATAAATAGCTATGTCAATCATTATTTATTTATATGAACATCATTCTGGCGGTAAAACTGTAGCTGGCTTCTCGCATCACTGATAGTGATGAAGACATGGAATATATGTATAACTTTTTATATTGTATAAGAGATTCTATATTACTGGTTGGTGCCATAATAAAAATAAATATATTTATGTTTCATTTATTTCTTTTCCAGCTGGTTTTCAGTAGGGTAGGCAGGCCTGTGAAGCTAAAAATAAATATTGTGTGACCTTGAGTATTAATTTGTAAAGATCATGAACACATCAACCAGACATTGTTATAAATGTTCACAGCTGATGGACCAACTGGAACAACCATTATTCATGTACACTCCCTCAGCTGAGACTGAACGGTACAGTAATCAAACATACAATATAAATTACATTCATAAGACAAAATGTTTACTTAAACATGCATTTTTCAATGTTATATTTTTGGTCACATCTCTGAACAAAGTAATGGCTTACGATCCTGTGTAACTATAATTCATACATGGAACTTGAGTGGGTTGCAGTGTGAGGTCTCAAATGTTGCATTTAGTGCAGTTAAATCTACTGGTACCCTAACTCTAAATTGAAAACAGTACATTTTTCTTCCATGACTAAAATAAACATGAACTCTTTGGGGTTAGCAAAAATATTCATAAAGCGGCATGGGTTAAGTCCATTTTTTAAATTGGTTGTCAATTTCAATTCAGGAAACACCAACAATAGCCTTTCTACAATAATGGCACAATATGTGCTTGAACATTATTTTTGGACATAAACAAGCTTTACTTGCATGTGGTAAGCATGGAAAGTGTGTGGCACAACTACTTCGTAAGCCAGCATGAAGTTGGCAACTGTAAAGATTAAATAATGCTGTAGTACTGATAAGAAAAGCACATGGGTCACAAATCAGGCGAATCTAAGCATGTTGGTTGCAGAGAGGGCTTGGATGGGTGACCGTGTTCGCTAGCTCGAGGGGCGGTCGGGTAGCCTAGTGGTTAAAGCGTTCGCTCGCCACGCTGAAGACCCGGGTTCGATTCCCGACATGGGTACAATGTGTGAAGCCCATTTCTGGTGTCCCCCGCCGTGATATTGCTGGAATATTGCTAAAAGCGGCGTAAAACCATACTCACTCACTCACCCCCTCACTAGCTCGACTCCTGAGAGTTGCTAGGGCCTCGGTGGAGTTTGGACCTGCCCCACCCTGAAGGACATGTGGCACATGTGGTGTGACCTTGGGCAGGTGACCTTGTTCAAAGTATGCCTCAGTTCACCCAGCAGTGAGTGGGTACCAGAAAGGATGACATGGTAATGTGACCATTAATTTTCTTGCACCTCAGGCAGCTTGGGTTCTGTACTCCCAGGGAAGTCAGACTGAATATCCTGTGCACACGAATCCATTGACCAGGGTAATAATGCCTTTGTGCTTAGACCTTGCTTATACATGGAGTGAGTGAGTGAGTTGGGTTTAACGCCGCTTTTAAAAGTATTCCAGTTACCAGTATATCAAAGCGTGTCAGCTTAATATGGGAGGAAAGTCAGAAGTGATGCAGGTCTCAGACGTTTACCACTTCAGTGAAATCCACGAGCACAGATATGGTGCTGACAAATCTAGAAACATAATCGGGGCCAACCTGGATTCAAACCCACAATCACAGATTTCTGGCCTGCCCAAGGGACGCAATTCTGCTCAGCAAATCGTGGTTCCTTAGACGACTTGGCCACCCGTGCCCAAGCTATTATTGTAATATCAATATTATTACCTGAGAAAAGTTTGTATACATGATAAACGTTGCATCATTTTCATTAGTTTCAGGGATGAGACCATAGCTTAAACTTGTCAAAAGGCATATCCTGTGCTAGCTGCTTGTATGTTGCCGTAGTTACACAACACAAAATATCACATCACATGAGACTGATTTCATGTACACTGAGAATCTTCAAGTCTGACAATGAAACCACAAGATAACAATGAACAACAATCACGTTCAACAATAAATGCAAGACAATGCCTTTCAGCATCTTTAAATACTTATATGATGTTACCATGGTAACAATGGCATAGTGAAAACATCCTTCAGCTTAATACTGCCATGATTTGTAAGTTAATGAATAACTCAGTATTTGGCAAAACAATATAAAAAAATCTTAGGATGGTTCAAGAAGGCTTGGCATCTTGACCCCATTGCCTACACTACTTGAATATATTCTTAACCTGAAAAAAATCGGAGGTGTGCTCAACTGGTTCTGTAGTCCTGCAGCTGTGATTAAGTCAATCTTCAACTTCCCGAGGCAAGTGAGTTAACTGACTATAATCGTCCAGTTTCCACCCTTGCCAAACTAGGCTGGAATTATGGAGTTATATTTTGGCTGGACTAACAAGTCTATGCATACTTAGTCCAATCAAAATCGCGTAACGAAATCAACATCCAGTTCGTCAACTGCCATGCAGATTTCGGTTGACTGACGGAATTTCTTACATCAACAGATATTTTCCAAATCATTTTATGTTTCTTATCAAGTTGCTTATTCAACTTGATGCATATTGTGAGGAAAGACCTGTTTTATTAGAATATAGATCTTGAATATCAATCTCATCATCTTGACTGGGTGCCGCCATTTGGTTTGAAGCAACTGCAAGTGATATGAGAGGTGGAATCTGATTGGTCAAATGGGGGGACATAGAAAAAAGGGACAAAACTTGTAATAACTACTGGTGGCGCTATGATTGAGCTCAAAACATTTAGGCCTCATGTGGAAACTGGAGTGTTTTCAAATAATCACATACCGTATATCACCATCAATAATATGACCCCACCCAAGCACTTGTAGAAACCTTCAAAATCAGTGCTAATTTATATACTCCATCTATACTACGGTCTGGAGAACATTAAAGCAAAGAGAGTTGTAAACGTTTCAATAAACAAACATAAAGAATCACAAGTGGAACATGAAACAGCAAGATAAATATGTGAAAATTTCTACCCCACACATCATACGATTCCCTTTCAAACCCCCTGATTCCAGGTACCCAAATCTTGCATGACAGACATCCTAGGTTATCCAGGGTATTGGATATCTGTTCTATTATAATACCAATAATCGCCGTTCACTGCCATAGCTTAATCTTGACCCAGATCCAATTTACATGATGCTGAAAAAGTAGCCATCCAATTTAAGTACACTCATGATAGAGATAAATTCTGTGAACAGTTAATGATAAGACTGATTGAGATGGTGACATGACTTCAGACACGAAGCTATGGTGGTGAATGGGTCCAGGGTATTTATTATAATTGACTTGAGATATAATACTCTGGACAATAGAGGATGGTTTTACTACTGATATCACAGTTCAATGCCACCCCATGTACTGGTCACATTTTTACATGAATACCCACATTCAAACATTCACCCCAACAAATATTTGTTCTTGTACATTAGTTACCATGACAATACCTCTTTTCATACAAAAAGCACTTATCTACATGAGTTAAAGACAATAAATATATAGGAGAAAAATAGATAAAGAAAACGAAGAATCTCTTGAATTGATAATCTCTTCCAGAAAACCATTTGTCTTCTTATAGACCCGACACATTTTTTCATCTTTGTCTGATGTTAATGACTCCTCGTCAGTCAGGGGGAGAACTGCCTGCATCAGCTGAACATTAGTGTCCCAGGTAGTTGTCTTGAAGCAGCTTCACATATCGTGGATATTTTACACGTTTTAAACATTCTCTGTAATTACTGTAAACTTGCATACAAATTGTTGTGATTTTCAGAAAGGATATGTTTTCAAATGAATCCTATACAGATTGATGTTAAATGTGTGCATCGTATAGAACTGTTTCACATGTTAAACAGAACACTTCACAGAATTACCTACAATGACAACACATTGCCAGATGGGCGTAACCTTGGTAACCAAAATGCTGTAACCATGGTACCAATGACATCCCCTCATGCCGTGCTGGTCTTGGGAGTGTCTTGGGAGTGTCGACAGTCCAACAGTGTGACCACACACTGACCAGAGAGATAGCAAGAGCCCAAGGTGAAGGTCAAGGTGAAGGTCAGGGCATCCTGACCACAGCGATGCCAGCGTCACACCTGGGAGTCTGCATACAGTTCTCCAGGATCTCCCAGGTGTCTGTCATGGGGTCATATGCCTCCACAGTGTTCAGAAGGGTGTTGCCATCATACCTGTAACCATGGTAACAATAAAATACATTTACAATAGTGTCGTCTTCATCAACCCCTGCTTGCCATAAATGGCGACTATGCTTGTCTTATGAAGTGACTAATGGGATCGGGTGGTCAGGCTTGCTGACTTGGTTGATGCATGTCATCGTATCCCAATTGTGAGGATCGATGCTCATGATAGCAATCAATGGATTGTCTGGTCAAGACTCGATTATTTACAGACCGCCGTCACATAGCCGGAATATTGCTGTGTGCGGCGTTAAACAAACAAATAAACAAACAATACAATAAAGTCAAGAAATAACAATTAATTTCCTGAATAAAATTCTTGTGACAAATGTTGACAACATTAAATGTTGACTATTTACAAAAGTGAATATTTTTTCAGTACTCATGAAACTGAATTTATAATGATTATGACCTTCGTGTCACCATGGCGAGTGCCAAGTTTTTAAATTTTGGGTTGACAGGGTCTAATACATTTACCAATATTCCATTCACACACTGACAACAATGTGGGGAGAATCAAACCATGGTTTGGGGCGTGATGAGCAAACGCACAAACCTCAGGGCTACCCTACTACCACTTGGACTTATATAAAAGATTTACAGATCAAGAAAAGTAATTGTGGAAGGAGGACTTGACTTCTGTAAAGAGACTATTTTATTTGGATTTAAGGGGAAGAATAACAACTCTCTCAATGTAGTTATATTACTTATCAAATTTATTGTGTTTAAACTATCACGAAAGGGTTTTCAGCTAAAGTTGAAACATATTCAACGTGAAGTTATTAGATACTACAATATGACCATGTTAATTGCAATTATACAGCTCTCTTTCAGTTCTGGTCTTCCTTCCAAAGACTTTTCAATCCTAGCAAAGAAAACTAGTACAATATCATATCTTATGATTGTCTATATTTGCAAAAGGTTTTGAAAGTTTGATGTAAAGGGATTGTTTTTTGAATAATGTATAATTTAATGAAATGCTACACGTTATTTGAAATGTGAATAAAGATTTTTAAAAAAAGAAGAAGAAGTTATTATTTAGTCATTTCTGGGGTTTGAGTATCATAAAAACACCTGTTTAGATTTTTCGGAAATTAGTCCATTTATTTACCCTGACATGAGTTCAACTGGTCAGATGGTAACATTCAATTTTATCTAAATTGGATAGAATTATCATTAAACCACCCGCATATTATCAGAAATGAGCAGGTCTTGATAACGCCATCAGATTGCTTGACGACAGGCCATTATCACACCCACTGTTAGGGGGACGTCATAGGGAGTGCAATAGTGACGTCTTCTGGTTTGACCTATGACGTTTCCATATTTGTAAAAGTGGGTCAGTGACATTCGTTGTGTGTTGATTGCAGTAAATGTTTTAACTGATAGTGTTGTTTATTTTTATTTGATAACAAATTCCATCCATTTTAGCTATAATAGCGGTAACGCTATTTTTCAGGGCATTATCTTTTGCAGAAGCCCTCCGTCTTTTCAACTGCCCTCCTTCATCGGGCAGTTAATGGAAGACCTCAGGCTTCTACAAATAACAAAGCCCTGTAAAAATAGCATTACCCTGTTAAGGCTAAAAAAATAATAGTCTTGGTTCTCAGGCACCGCCCGCATCATCCTTAAGCCGCATGATCATTTTTTATTTCCATTTAAAAAAAAATAATTAAAAAATTCAAATACTTAAAAACAATGCGATCAACAATAGCATGCAGTAACTTCCCTTTACATGTGTACTGCTGTACTGCGCATGTCGTGCAACCGCCCGCCCTCCCGCCCGCACTATATTTTCAAAAGTCACTGCCTGAGAACCAATTCTTAACAACTGCAATCTCCATGAAAGGTGGAAGTCCTTACCCTGCTACAACTGTGAGTTTCCCCCTGACCACACATGCCCCCACATAACACCGGGGTATCCTCATGTGATGCAGGGACGTCCAGTGGTTGGTGCTGGGGTCGTAACTCTCCACCGTGGCCAAGTGCTCGGTCCCGTCGTAACCTCCACACACATAGATGACATCATTCAGCACGGCCACACCCGCTCCTGTGTGGGTGAGGAGTGAGTCAGTGCAGAGGAAGTCATGGTAAATATGGACAGGTTGATACTTAACGGATAATTGCGTTGCTGCGAGTGACATCATAATATCACAGAACAATGACATCACACAATACAAAAGAAAGAAGGGAGATAATCATAGGCCTCATAATCTACAATTTACCAGTGTTTTCAATAAGTTTGCATGGCAACGCATTTTCCGTTATGTATGGCCTGAAGAGGTCTATGAATAGATTAATTTGCTCCAAGTTTATATTTTTAACTGTATACTGAATAGAATTTTATAAAATTTGTATCATGTATATTTCTGAAATATTTGAATGTGATTTACGCTTGAAATAATATGCATTGTATGTTTAACACTTAAGCGGTACTGTATGGGGATACAAACTGATTGGATGCATAGTATCGGGATACGTCGTATTGTGACCTCACTATATCGTTATAGCTCTAGTGCTTGATCTGTTGATTGAATATTATACAACTCAAAAGATGTTAAAGTACACTCAATTTTGTCATATGACTATAGCTGATCTGTCATGACTGGTGGGTATATTGCAACACACAGCCTTCCATTTGTGAGTGTTCTATATTTTTGGCATCTTTTTCTGTATTTTGGCTTCAACATGTACTTAGTCAGTTTTTCTGGACAATTACCTCAAATAAATCCTGTTTTTTATAAGTAATATTACTACTGCCTTTTTGCATAGAAGAGTCAGTAAGAATGACTTTGGTTTAATGCCGCACTGAACAGTATTTCAGATAAAACAGTATATCAGCCTGCTGCGGGACGAAAGCCTGAAGGGATGCAGGTTTCAGACATTTAACACTTTGGTGAAACCCTCGAACACAGGCTGGTGCCGACAAACCCAGAAACATAATCAGGGCAAATTCGGGATTCAAACCCATGATCAAGGGACACGACTCTGCACGGTAAATTAAGAAAACCAACAAGAGTAAGTAAGTGAATGAGTATGGTTTACGCCGCTTTTAGCAATATTCCAGCAATATCACACCAGAAAACAGCAGAAATGGGCTCCACACATAGTACTCATGTTGGGAATCAAACGCGGGTCTTCGGCGTGATGAGCCAACACTTTAGCCACTAGGCTACCCCACCACCTCGAGTCCACTAGAAAATAGATCGGTCCGGTGTAGGGAAGGATACAGTGAATGTAAGTGAGTGAGTGAGTATGGTTTTACGCCGCTTTTAGCAATATTCCAGCAATATCACACCGGGGGACACCAGAAATGGGCTTCACACATTGTACCCATGTCGGGAATCGAAACGCGGGTCTTCGGCGTGACGAGCGAACGCTTTAACCACTAGGCTACCCGACTGCCCCTGCAGAAATAAAAAGGCCTGATCACGGACATACCTGACCGCTGGATGGACATGCTGGTGATGGTTGACCACTCCTCTGTGGCAGGGTTGTACCTCTCGGCCGAGTCCAGGAGATTGATGCCGTCGTATCCCCCGATACAGTAGATGTGATCCCCTGCCACCACGAGCCCCGCCCCCTCACGCCCAATAGTCATGCCGTTCAGCATGGTCCAGTCATCATTGCTGGGGTTGTACCTCTCCATGCTGGTGTGCCTCGTGTAGCCGTCGAACCCCCCACACACATAGATGTGGCCTGAGGGAGATAGAGATAAGGTTTCTGTTTGTTTACCTGCCACAACTATGCTTGTTTTGTTTGTTGTTTCTTGTTTAATGCCACTCAGAAATATTTCAGCTGTATGACAGCAGCATGTAAATAATTGCCAATATTGTAGAGGAACATCCAAAGTGATGCAGGTCGTAGAACTTCACCTCCTTCTATGAAACCAACAAGCCAGGGCCTGGTGCTGACAGCTTGGTAATAATAAGCGTAGCACAAATACATGATTTTGGTTTGTTGGTTGGTTAACGCCGCATTCAGCAATATTCCAGCTACATGACAGCGGTCTGTAGGTAATCAAGTCTGGACGAGACAATGCAGTGATTGACATCATGGGCATCGAGCTTAGCAGTTGGGATACGACGACCTGCATCAGTCAAACAGCGATCCTGACCACTCGATCCAGTAAGTCGCCTCTTACGACAAACATGGATTGCTGAAGACCATTTCTAACCCAGAACTTTGTGAGGAAAGGGATGAGGTGGTGAGGTGAGGTGCAATGGGCTTTGACATCAAGTTAACTTAAGATCATAGCAACGTGCATGCACATGTGTGTGTGTGTGGCTGCTTGTTCTAGTTTGAATTAATGCTGGTTTTATAGTACTAAGCCACTGAGATACCAGGCTGCAGTTCAACATAAAAACCCCACTCATACAGATTATACTGACTACGAGCTGACCAGTCCTTGTTTTATCCCCTTAATATCAGGTGCCAGGCAGGGTAACAATAAGTACCTTTTAACAACTTTTGATATGATGCGGCTGGAGATCTTAAAGCATAACCAACCAATATTATGAAATTAATATCAACCCTTTTAAATGTGAACCTAAGGGGAACAACTCTGACCATTCAACCCCAATTACCTCCCTTTGCTAGTAATTCAACAAGCACCTCACAGTGATATCTTGATCTCTGACACTGCTCATAACACCTTCATTATCCTTTCTACCCTCCTGCAAGGCATTAGGCTTGAACCTGGGTCTGATTGACTGTCATGTTTACAAACAAGAGTGTCTGCAGCTGTGTATAATATTTGATCTTCAAATTGTAGATCTAATAATAACCATCAGGAACCCACTGTGATGAGGAGATTGTAAAGGCTGAAGTAGACCGCTCTTCTATTAAACTGAGTCCATGAATGAGTTTGTTTTAATTTATTATAGGGGCTGGTGGGTCAGAGGGAATCAGGAGAGGGTCCCCCCACATATGACAGTCTCTAGGGTCATAAACAAATACACAAATATTAGGGGAAGGTCATGAAAAAAATGGACATTTTATAATAAAACATAAAGTGCTTTTGCATTTTGTCTTTTCAGAAATGGTCACGAAAAATATTCACAAGGACAGAGAGGCGGCCTTTTAATAATCAAACCTGGACCAGACAATCCAGTGATTGATATTATGACTATGAGCAATGATCCATGTTATCGGGGGACGGTGACAAGCCATCATCCAAGTCACAAAGCCCGACCACCTGATATATAAAGTCGCTTTTTGAGACTAGCATAGGTTGCTGGGGACCGATTCTAACCAGGAATCCCAAAGGGCGTAATGACAGCGAAAGGTAGCAAGAGCTGGAATGGATCTTGGTAATTCAACTATAACCAGTAGAGGACGTAACGTGTACGTGAGACGTACAAGTGACCACCTGAGAGGGGTCACTCGTATGCGTGACGGTCTGTCAGTGGACCATGGATTTCTGCATGTTGCACATAAATGTCTCTACAAGTGTTATCGAATGACATGAAAAAAATGTCATAAGAAAAATAATAAACGGTCAAATTGGGAGAAAAATGTGCAAAAATCGAGCAAAATGTTCATTTTTTGATAGCGATTTTCTCCTATGTACATATTTTTCAGAAACTAACATGTAGTATTTTTTGTAAAAGCTTATTCATCGTAGAGTTACAAAATATATGAATTACCGTATTCGACGTAATAAGCGCCCGGGGCGCTCTCAAAATTAGAAATAGGGGGCTCTTATTAGAATATTATTTTGGTAGAAAAAAACATAGATGAAAGATAAATTTCGTGGTTTATGCTGACAGCCTGAAGTGTTTATATGCGACAGATATATTTTTCCAGAATTTAATTGCCCATAATTAAGGGTGTATATAACACACGAGTGCGTATTATACGCGAATAAATAAGTCCTTTGTACATTGATCAATCAGAAGGGATGCAAATTTGGCTTGTTCACTAGCCAATATATCAGCAAATATCGCCGTGGGCGCTTATTAGAGCGGGGCGCTTATTACGTCGAATACGGTATATGAATGATATCTTACCCTTGTAAACACAGCAGCCAGCCAGGCCTCTCCGATGGTTCATGGAAGATACAATGGTCCACATATTCTTATCCTCGGTCATGTCCAGACATTCGGCCATACTGAGGCGGGACTGACCATCAAATCCCCCGATCACGTACAGCTTCCCTTCCAGAGATGCAGCTGACACATATCTTCTTCTTCGTGTTAAACACTGAAACAAGAAACCAGAAATCCAATTAATGATAAAGACAAAAACAGAAAAAAGAACAACCTTGATTATTCAGTGTATCTTAAAGCTTATGTAGGACATGTGGTGTCACCTTAGGCAAGTGACTTTGTTCCAATTATGGCTCTGTCCTCCAAGCAGTGAATGGGTACCTGGTAGGATGAGATGGTAATGTGACTGTTAACCCAGCAGTGAATGGGTACCTGGTAGGATGAGATGGTAATGTGACTGTTAACCCAGCAGTGAATGGGTACCTACTAGGATGAGATGGTAATGTGACTGTTAACCCAGCAGTGAATGGGTACCTGGTAGGATGAGATGGTAATATGACTGTTAACCCAGCAGTGAATTGGTACCTGGTAGGATGAGATGGTAATATGACTGTTAACCCAGCAGTGAATGGGTACCTACTAGGATGAGATGGTAACGTGACTGTTAACCCAGCAGTGAATGGGTACCAGGTAGGATGAGATGGTAATATGACTGTTAACCCAGCAGTGAATGGGTACCTGGTTGGATGAGATGGTAATGTGACTGTTAACCCAGCAGTGAATGGGTACCAGGTAGGATGAGATGGTAATATGACTGTTAACCCAGCAGTGAATGGGTACCAGGTAGGATGAGATGGTAATATGACTGTTAACCCAGCAGTGAATGGGTACCTGGTTGGATGAGATGGTAACGTGACTGTTAACCCAGCAGTGAATGGGTACCTGGTTGGATGAGATGGTAACGTGACTGTTAACCCAGCAGTGAATGGGTACCTGGTTGGATGAGATGGTAACATGACTGTTAACCCAGCAGTGAATGGGTACCTGGTTGGATGAGATGGTAATGTGACTGTTAACCCAGCAGTGAATGGGTACCAGGTAGGATGAGATGGTAATATGACTGTTAACCCAGCAGTGAATGGGTACCAGGTAGGATGAGATGGTTATATGACTGTTAACCCAGCAGTGAATGGGTACCTGGTTGGATGAGATGGTAATGTGACTGTTAACCCAGCAGTGAATGGGTACCAGGTAGGATGAGATGGTAATATGACTGTTAACCCAGCAGTGAATGGGTACCTGGTAGGATGAGATGGTAACGTGACTGTTAACCCAGCAGTGAATGGGTACCTGGTTGGATGAGATGGTAACGTGACTGTTAACCCAGCAGTGAATGGGTACCTGGTTGGATGAGATGGTAACGTGACTGTTAACCCAGCAGTGAATGGGTACCTGGTTGGATGAGATGGTAACGTGACTGTTAACCCAGCAGTGAATGGGTACCTGGTTGGATGAGATGGTAATGTGACTGTTAACCCAGCAGTGAATGGGTACCAGGTTGGATGAGATGGTAATATGACTGTTACCCCAGCAGTGAATGGGTACCAGGTTGGATGAGATGGTAACGTGACTGTTAACCCAGCAGTGAATGGGTACCAGGTAGGATGAGATGGTAACGTGACTGTTAACCCAGCAGTGAATGGGTACCAGGTTGGATGAGATGGTAATGTGAGGCAGCTTGGATTGTATTCTCCCCAGGGAGAAGAAAATGAGAATCGTGTGCACACTGATCCATGAACCAGGGTAATAGTAATGTAGCGCCATGAACTTTCACTTGAGGAAATACGGTGCATTATAAATGGACTTATTATCATTCAGGGCTTGATTTAGCTACATTAAACATGCACAAGTGCAGCCTATTATTGAAAAATGCAACCTAACATGCACCAAGAGCATGTCAAAATACATTCAATTTTGTGTCTGACTAACCCTTTCTTGTCCACACAAAGTCGATCTTTCAAAACTCAAAACCTCTGAAGTTTATTTACCACATTGCATCACTAATGCGTGTAATACGTGTAATTCGTCATGCTTTGAGGGCTTGACATCATCAAACTGTGGGTACTTTAGGATTATGTGCAGTTCCTATTACATTTTACAGCAATGCGTCATTAATTTATGTGACACTGGCAGCAGACCAGCCCATGTTTCAAATTCATGGGACCAGGGTGCAACCTGGTTTTGTTTGGTGCAACTTGGTATTAATGTCATCGCTCACATGGTGCAAGTTCAGTCAAGTTCCTTAAATCGAGCACTGCTAAAAAACAAAAACAGTCTCGGTTCTCATGCACCACTGCATCATCACAAAGTATGCTGCACATTTCGTTTTTATTTCCAGTTTTAAAAAATCTTTGATTATTCCGTGCCTTGAACACAGGACCCCGGCAGTGAAATGGTGCAGTACTAAAAACAACATGATGCAATAGAGCATGCAGTTACTTCCCTTTACATGCAAACTGCCAAGCTCCTTCCCAGTGTGTGACATCTTTGTACACTCTATTGAAGATTTTCCTCTGACCAACCTTCTCCCTCTCAACCTGAGCATAGATATGACAAGCACAAGACAATACAGATGGTGCAGGGGATGGAGCGACTTCCCAGAGAGCAGAAGGTTTGATCTCGGGCTGTGTCATACCAAAAGATGTTTAAAGATGTATTTTATTGGTTGACTGGTCATTATCGTGTATGAGTGGGGTATCCAAGTTAAAATGCTGCTGGTATCTCAGCACTATAAAACTACCTAGAATGGACTAGTACAAGTAGCCACACACATACATGCATGCATGTCACTTCGATCTGATCAATAATCTAAGATCTATATTGTGCTAAAACGGGTCTTACATCGCGCAGTGCATCAAATCACGTGAGCACTTTGATTAAAAACATGAAAATATTATATCTGTTGACAACGAGTCAGCAGTGCACATGCTTCTCAAATCCTGCAATCGACCGAAATCTGCATGATAGTTTACGAAAACCAGATTTCGATTTCGTTGCGCGAATTTGATTGGACTATGCATAGACTCGTTAGTCCATAATACCAGCCTACTTCGGCAAGGGTGGAAATTGGACTTTTATAGTCAGTTAACTCCCTTGCCTGAGGAAGATGCACGGTGTTACATCTGGCTTGCCAGTCTTCTTACAGTATATGTCAGTAAAGCAAGAATACATTCAAACTAATGCAGTTGCAGATTGTGTAACGCCCGATTAGTAACACAATCATTTCGGTTTACTTACAGGCAGTCTGGTCCACTCTTTGGTTTGGGGGTCATATTTTTCAACGGCATTGACTAGATTCTGTTGAGATCCAAATCCTCCGAGAACAACCAGTGCATCTCCTATTCCTGGAAAACAAACAGAAACCAGTAGAGAATGCTCCCATGTTTCAGTGAACCGATCATGCTCTCCCTATGTCTAGAGTAAGTAAGTTAATGAGTGAGTGTGGTTTTACGCCGCTTTTAGCAATATTCCAGCAATATCACGGCGGGGGACACCAGAAATGGGCTTCACACATTGTACCCATGTTGGGATTCGAACCCGGGTCTTCGGCATGACGAGCGAACGCTTTAACCACTCAGCTACCCGACCGCCCCTCCTAAGTCAGGAGAACAAACTACATCAGATATAGGAAGCGTGTTCAAGAAGGATTCATGATTTGTTGGTATTGTTAATTTTATCTTCCAAACCTGAGATATCACCTGACTGAGATGAAGCAACATCTCCTGGAGATATCAGACAGATCTCCAAAGACACTCAGCCGAGATTCTCTATGTATATGACAACCGATAGTTGAATTTCATTGTATTCATATTTCTCCCTAATTCATTTACAATATTTTCATTTTCAGGCATGTCAGCCTGATGTTAGAGGAAAGCTGAAAGTGATGTAGTTCTTAGACGTTTACCACTTTGGTGAAACCCACAAGCATGGGTATGGTGCTGACTAACCCATAGATATAATTGATGTGAACCAGGGTTCAACCCCATGGTTATAGGTCATCAGAAAATTGTGGCGCCTTAGATAACTTGGTGACACGTTCCCCCAGCACATCAAGGATTTATTTATTTATTTGTTGTTTAACGCCGCACTCAGCAATATTGCAATATTCCAGCAATATGACGGCGGTCTGTTAATAATACTTGAGTCTAGACCAGACAATCCAGTGATTGACAACATGAGCATCGGTCCACGCAATTGGGATACGATGATATGCATCAACCCAGACAGCCAGTCTGACCACCCGATCCCGTTAGTCGCCTCTTACAAAAAGCATAATCGCCTTTTAGGGCAAGCATGGGTTGCTGAAGACCTGTTCTACCCCGGATCTTCACGGGTACATCAAGGAAGTAACAGTATGTCCTACATAACATCAGAGAGTCCCTGGACATGGTGCCCCACAGTATGCTCAGTAGCCATGGTTACAAACAGGAACCTACACACATGGGGCTGTTATGACAATAGTAAGAACACTACAGGTGTCATACCAGTAGGTGTATTGAAGAGGGTTGTCAGTGCTGTAGGCAGCCGGGGGGGCAGGGGGAGCAGTTGCCCCCCTGGATTTTTTTTTATAGAAAACAGTTTTATTTGAATAATGAAAATACAAGTTTGGGACAAGTGATACTTGTACAAATATTTGCCCCCCAGTCAAAAAAAGTTAACTACGGCCTTGGTCGACTTTACGAGATAAACATTATGTGTTTTCAGATTTAGGGGTGTTATTAAGTATTTGATGGTGTAAGCCGGAGGTTTTAAATGTTAAAATGCCTACTCATCAAACATTTTCAATACTGTAAAATGTAAAACCTATCAGTGGCACAGTTATGAGACTACCATAACATCACACTGGAAGGCTATGATGTTATCATACAATTGATGATGTCACATGCTTCCGGCAATTTTCATGATACACAATTATCAAATGCTGAGGTTTCTTGCATCAGGCCGAACCATGCAAATATTTGTTGCCGATACAATTATCGGCAGATGTAGTATTGACCTCATAATAACAGTCCCATTACATCAAAACATAAGCAGTTCTCTATCATGCTTTTATGCCTGGGTCTGCACAGATGTGTTTAGTACTGAATCCTTATTGAAATTTATCAAATTTTTTTCTCGTAAATGTGTTTCCACTGAACATGCTGAACTTAATTTGAACTCTGTGGTTAAAGCGTTCTCTTGTCACACCGTAGACCCGGTTCAATTCTGGACATGGGTACAATGTGTGAAACCCATTTCTGGTGTCCCCCATCGTGATATTGCTGGAATATTGCTAAAAGGGGGGTAAAAACATACTCACTCACTCACTCAAAACGATGTACGTCATGTCTCTTTAAAAGGAGTTTGGAAAGGGAATTCAGCATCCCCCGTCAATACAAGTGCCCCTTTGGTCATGAGGGTTCACATTTTACCCCATGGGGATTCCATGTTAAAATAGGTCCCCAGCATGTAGCTGGAATATTGCTGAGAGCGGCATTAAACAACAAACAAACAAACATGACTTGTTAAAAAGCCTGACACTCTACTTACAATTAACATTGTATTTTCTTGAGTATAGCGCACACCCAAGTATAATGCGCACCCCCCTCTAGCAGATTCCGTATTTTGAAAAAAAAAATCGAATATTATGCGCAGGAATATTCAGGAATAATATATTCCAATATCTTGTTATTTTAGTTGCAGCTTTTAATGAACATATTTAAATAATAATAACCCTAAGCGAAACTCTTGGGTGCCGCTGATTGCTATTTCCGGTTATTTTTTTCACAAGGAACAGTTTGACCAGTCACCGTCAAGGCTCCCACACATGTGAACGCGAGAACTACATGTTGACATAGAATCGTCAAACTACAAGAGTATGACTTTTAACTAGTCAAAGTATGGCATTTATATATATATGTATCCATTCTCTGTCAACTAAAGGTCGTTTCAAGGCATCAGTAGCGGTAATCTGACTGTGGTTGCTGTAAATAACGGTCAGTTGTGTGATCTTCCGATCGTTTCAAACACGATTTCGTAGAAATTAATTTAAACAATGTTAAAAGGAATTTTGAGTAAAATTAATGAAATAAGTGACAAAGTTAAGTCCAGCTATAAAAAGAAACCTTTTTAATATAAAAAGAAACCTTTTTATAACCAGACAGTGTAAATACATGATTAATTTGCGTACTTCAGTATGGATTTGTTGACATGGTATTTCCCATGTTACGTGCTCATGGTAATGTCTTTGCATTGGGTGGAAAAAACATCAAAACTCATTACGGCATGTATAATGCGCACCCCCTTCAACACGGCTGTGTTTTTTGGAAAAAAAGTGTGCACTATACTCAAGAAAATATGGTAAGGTAGTGACATGTGTGTCTCCTCCATGTGTGTTGCAGTGCGTAGCTACCCACCTATTCTGTGCTTGGTCTTGTGGCTGACCATTTTCAGTCTGAGGTCGGGTCTAAGGTGGAATTTCTTGGCTTCATCTAGAAGATCTCTACACTTGTGACTCCGTCTAACAAGGTTCTGGTATAGAAGAAGTAGTCTCATCAAACACTTCAAAGATTTCAGCCAAACATCTTTCAGCCAAAGCTATAAACATACATCTTACATCTCTGGTGCAATCTCATTACAATCAGATCTTAGTTCTCGCTGCCGCTAAAGAAAGATCTGAGGACATCCCATTACGGGTCACGCCAGAATGACCTTTCGCGAACTTTGACAGACCACTGACATGACTAACAAGAAGTTGACATCAGCCAATTAGAAAGCAGCCTTCTCGTGCTTTACGGCACTTGTTTCAACCTGGTGACTTCCATTTCAGACTAAGCTTTAAAAATTTGTTGACGCAGTTCTCGATTAAAAATTTGAAAACTGTTAAAACGAACATTCCGCAATGTCTAATATATGGTTGGGATTTATGGCAATGCTTCCCACGTACTGTGCAACGCCTCCTCCGTTCAAATGTTTATCCCACGGAAGCGAGAGATAGACAATAATTTTGACGGAATCAGTCGTACGGGTTGTTACTGTCATTCGGAATACCCCGTGTTAATATTATCGAGGTTGCATGATCAAAAACACATTCCGACTGTCACTTTCATGATCTGGTAAGTGACGCTTTGATTGGTCGGATGAAAGGTCGTTGTGACGTGACCCGTAATCGGATGTTCTCAGATCTTTGTTTCGCGATAGTGAGAACTAAGATCTGATTTTAATGAGATTGATCTCAGGTGGGTCACTGTAGTGCTTCCCTAAAGCAAAAGAACAGACTGGTTCTACAGTGTACAATTTAGTACTGACATTTTGTTTCAGTGATTGAGACAGGTTCTGTGTATCCTGATGTAACTGTGACCATGACAACTCCAAGATCCACTGATATATATGTTACCCGATGTTACTATGGCAACAAGGTCCAAGGCAACATATACCCAATCATTTTATACTTAGATGTGAAAGAATGAGTTTACTGAAGTAGAGAAAAGTGATATTTTCATTGCAGAGAACATAACACTTGATATTTCACTGCAGTGAACATAACACTTTGACGGAACTATTGTCATACAAGAGTTACCTCCCCTTAAATTATCTCCCTTTATCGTAAGTGACTAGCCCGTACACAAACTGTTGACATCCTGTTTATGTTCCACGTTGACAAGGCAAAATAATGACAGATGGTCATTTATGGAGTTAATATCACTTCTTGCCATTTGTTATTTTCTCGAAAATGTTTCTTTATAAACTGTAAATTTCTCATTTAACTTGTCAATCGAGACTGTTCGTTTCTCAGAGCACCATTTTTGCTGCTTGACCAGCATGTATTCTTTCGCTCCAAACAGCTCCTCCTAGTTTGTTAAGAATGTTTTTTGTTAAAGTTGAATCATATTGAAATGTATGGCCAAAAAAATTGTGTCCCGAAATATTTTTGTATACTTTTGCTTATATTTTTTAAGATTTTGCAAACACAAAATTACTATTTAAGTCGCAAAAACAAGGGATGGTGAACCATCCCTGTGTATTAGGTAGGGAGAATTTACGTTTCAAAGTTTTACATTTGTTATGAAAGTTGAAATAGTTTAATTTTCCGGAAGCAAACTGCGCAAAAAGTATATAATAAAAATGATATTTCATGTGTCGAGTGAAATATCATGTTTCTCTCATCGAGTGATGAGTGGCGTATTCTATATCTTACTGTGGCCTAAAGGCCCAGTGGTACATGTATCCCAATAATACTTTGGTTAAAAGGTACAGTGTTACATGTATATTGATGTTACCATGGTTACAAGGTCCAGTGCTACTTGTTTCCTGAAGTTACCATAGCTACAAGGTCCAGTGTTAAGAGTATGTATCCTGATGTTACTATGGTTACAAGGTCAAGTGTTGCATGTTGCCTGATGTTACCATTGTTACAAAGCATAACAGCGTACCTCTTGGTCGATGACATCCGTGATGTAGCGAGCAGTGAGCAGCGGGAGTCGGACATAGTTGAGCAGTTGCGGAAGACACTCACATCGGCTCTCTCGGTCGTACTTGACCCAGTCAATCACTGCCTGGAACACAGGCTCCTCGCTGTTTACCTGTACAACAGACCCGTGAAGATCGGGGTAGAAAAGGTCTTCAGCAACCCATTCTTGCCGTAAAAGGCGACTATGCTTGTCGTAGGAGGCGACTAACAGGATCGGGTGGTCAGGCTCGCTGACTTTGTTGAAGCATGTCATTGATCCTAATTGCATGGATCGATGTTCATGATATCAATTACTGGATTGTCTGGTCCAGACTCAATTATTTACAGACCGCTGACATATAGCTGGAATACTGCTGAATGCGGCGTTAAACAACAAACCAACAAATCAACCTGTACAACACACACAAACTTTACAACTGCTCGAAGTATACAGCGTTGGTTTCTAGGGCATGGTGACAATATCTAGGGTCCCCTATTAATCCGACCTGACAAATGAAGGACAGGTGCAAAAAGTTTGAAGTGGGTGCAAAATTAAAGTTTGAATAGATCATAATGTGTTTCTTAAGAGTGCAAACCAAACAAAATTCAGGTGTTGGGGAATAATAGGGGTGGCATCAGCTCTCTCCCTCCCTCCCTCTCTTTCTCTCTTTCATCAAAGGGGGTAGTGGCGTAGCCTAGTGGTTAAAGTTTTCACTCATCATGCCGAAGGCCTGGGTTTGATTCCCTACATAGGTACAATGTGTGAAGCCCATTTGTGGTGTCCCCCACCGTGATATTGCTGGAATATTGCAAAAAGTGATGTAAACTCCTACTCACTCGCATCAAAGCGTCATTGACATGAGATTTACCTGAAGTTCATCACTTTTGATTAATCTCTCCATCTCCGCAAGAGGGAGGGTCTTGAACTCTTCCTGCCCAACCACTTCCTCGAAATGATGGAGACTGTATGACTCTGCAGCTTCCCATAATGCCTTGCAGCTGTGTTGTTCAGCAAATATTTTGATTCCAAGGCAATTTGACGAGTCAAGTTGATTTTCTAAGAAAGAACAACATGCCTCTTTCACACCTACAAAGAAATGAAAATAATTTTTTGTCAAATATAACCTTACATCTTTACGATTGTCATAAATATTTGCTTCTGAGAAATAGTTATATGGGTGCCGTGATTACACAGTCATTGGTACAGCTTGCAATATCAAAGTACAAGAAGTATCAACTAATAAAACATACACAATCTCATTAAAATCACATGTAACTTCTCTCTACTGCTAAACAAAGATCAGAGGACATCCCATAACAGGTCACCTTCCACTGAGTTGCAACAGTTGCCTGCAATTGAGCTGCAACAGTTACCTACCATTGAGCTGCAACAGTTTCCTACCTTTGAGTTGCAACAGTTGCCTACCATTGAGCTGCAACAGTTGCCTACCATTGAGCTGCAACAGTTACCTACCATTAAGCTGCAACAGTTACCTACCATTCAGCTGCAACAGTTACCTACCATTGAGCTGCAACAGTAACCTACCATTCAGCTGCAACAGTTACCTACCTTTGAGCTGCAACAGTTACCTACCATTGAGCTGCAACAGTTACCTACCATTGAGCTGCAACAGTAATCTACCATTGAGCTACAACAAAAATCTACCATTGAGCTGAAACAGTTACCTACCATTGAGCTGCAACAGTAATCTACCATTGAGCTGCAACAGTTACCTACCATTGAGCTGCAACAGTAATCTACCATTGAGCTACAACATTAATCTACCATTGAGCTGCAACAGTTACCTACCATTGAGCTGCAACAGTTACCTACCTTTGAGCTGCAACAGTTACCTACCATTGAGCTGCAACAGTTGCCTACCATTGAGCTGCAACAGTTACCTACCATTGAGCTGCAACAAGCACGCAGCTGGCAACAGTTCCTGGACGTTTTCTACACTGACATCTACTGTTTCTGTGTACACAAAGTCCAGTAACTCTCTCATCACATCCGAGGATATTTCATGCAGTTCTATCATAGACTTGTCCTTCTCCGACATCTGAAAGAGGAATGAAATAAGAACACCATTCATCTCCGGACACAATCCAACCCTTAAGTCTACTGATTCTTTCACTGTGTGTTGTGTTTGGCCTGCCATGAAGGTCCAATTATAAAAAGGGAACTCAAATCATTTCAACACAGGTCTTATATGAATTATTCAATATTTCATACTAATCCTTGCAGAGATCCCCTCTATAATAACAATACACTGTTATTAAACAGCGTTGATGTACCGATCAATAACATCACATGCAGACAGGACTATTTTTGGCATCAGCAGGTCATTTGAATAGAGTGAGTGAGTGAATATTGCTTAACGCCGCATCAGCAATTTTGCAGCTATTCGCGGCGACATTTGAATAGAGGAGACAGGTGCACTTAGTAACTGTACTCTGCAACGTCTACTCTACTCCCAGACAGATAATCTACTCCCAGTAGACACAACTTATTTCACCAGAGATGCTGTGACACACTACGCATGCATCTCAATACTGTATTATTGACATATGTAAATATATAAAGTCTGTGAGTTGTCCATCGCAGGACTCGCAAAGAAATATGTTTGAAAAGGGAGGGTATACAGACTCTCATTGTTTGTATTGTACTAGTGCAAACATCATGGCATTATGAGTTAGTGAGTGAGTTGGGTTGAACGCCGCTTTTAAAAGTATTCCAGTTATATCGTTGCATGTAAGCTTAATGTGGGATGAAAGCCAGAAGTGATGCAGGTCTCAGACGTTTACCACTTCGGTGAAACCAACGGGCACGGGTATGGTTCTGACAAACCTAGAAACATAATTGGGGCGAACTGGGATTCGAACCCACAATCATAGGTTTCTGGCGTGCCCAAAGGAAGCAACTCTGCACAGCGAATCGCAGCACCTTAGATGACTGGGCCACCCGTGCCCCCCATGGCATTATGAAGGTTCAAAGCATCACTATATAGGGCTGGGACAGGTAACTCAGGTACTCAGGTCGGGTGGGACTACTAATTTTAGTTTGTTATAACCGTAGTTCGTTATAAGCATATATACAACATAACTACAGCAAAAAATCGGGACCAGAAAAGTAAGTTCGTTATATCCGTCAGTTCATTATAAGCGTGTTCGTTATAACCGTAGTTAACTGTATCTAAATAATTTTTGCCAGCGCTATGCTACAAATGTTCCCAATTACAGATAAACAATCTGCTGACTCACAAAACTGAAATAAGTGGAGAAGGCGGTAATAAGTGTTACACTTGTGCCCAATCCCTTTGTCTTTTTGGACAATAAAATATGTTAATAATTTAATCTGAAATCAAACAGCCAACATGACATGACTTGACGAGTAGATTGTCTCCCCCACCTTCACCAAACTGAGAGTGTAGTGAAATGTTTCATTGAACGCAGATGTTTCTTGGTGATGTTTGTGCATGTAAATGTTATTATAAACATTATTTCAGAAAAGGCATCTTATCATTTCTTATATATCAAACTCGGAGAAAGCAGTTAACTTTGTTGCCAGGTCGCACCTTCAGAGAACAGTCTATGGTCGTTTCATCAGCTATGAAGGTTGTATTACAATCCATTGTTCTTATTCCAACTCATGTATTTCGCTCGCCAGGTACCTTTAGAAATACACTCGTACAGTGCTTGACATAACACTGGTCCGCTGGTCTGAGTCTAGTATATTTTCCTAAGGACCAGTAAAATTAAAAGAATGGTTGTCCGGTGGCCTGGTGTTATGTTGGGGATAAACAAAGTAATTTAATTTTGCACGAATTTTGAATTCAGCGACAGATTGGTGCTGGTCCTTTGGACAAATTATAGTCAGGGTCAAGCACAGTCACAATAAAAAGACAGGGACTCACATCTCATATGGCCTATAATATATATATATATATCTCATATGACTACACAAGATGTATCTCATGTCACCTGTACAAGATATATCTCATGTGACCTATATAACATAAATATCCCATACATAAAAAACATAACATATCTCATATGATGTATACAATACATATCGCATACGAACTGTACAATATATATCTCATACGAAACCAAGGATACTTTAATACTGTAAATCGTGAAATTAATGCATCTCCAAAAGAATGCGACCGCGGGCCCCTTGCCAAAAATGCGACTCAATATGAATGCGACACCCCCTCCTCTCATGCATCAGCATGATCCATGGATTTATGTCTTAAGAAAATGTCCTCTGTCAGGTTTACAGGAGAATCCTTACATTAATCCAATCACACACCAAATAGCACTCATTAGCGCTGAGTAGAGTACTTCCGCTAAAACAATACATGCTCGCTGGCTCGTGACGACCTTGGATGCAATTGCAAAGAAAAAGGACACTGTGTTGCATGGTTGGCGTCTGTCTGGACTTGCAGGTGTGATGAGTGATGACAAAAGTGAGTAGAACTTGAGTCTTAACCCCAGCAGTGACAATTCACAGGATGTATTTAGTGTTTGAATGACATTGTTAATATACTTGTTACAAGTGATGCTCAATAAACAGTGGTGTGGAATACATAGTTGTTTGTTTTCAGTGTATGTCTAAGTTGGTATTTCTGCTATCTAAAATGTCTTATAGATGATATAAACGCGATGTTTAATAATGCGAGCAAAGACCACTTGCATTTTTCACATTTAATTCACGCTCGCGTTAATTTCAAGATTTACATTATCACATATATCAATTCTTGTCAAGAAATTTTTTTAAATACTTCCCGACAAGCCTCAAATTTTAAATTTGTATCGATTATGTTGATATATATTTTATATATCAAAAAACAATCGGGTGTGATTCTATAATTTCCATATTTCACACCAATACAAACTGATACATAGAAATATCAAATCAAACCTCATTTGTAAACATGGCACAGAAGTAATCACTGCAGGCCGCCAGTACGATCCTGTGTGCGGGGAAGGACTCGCCCATGACCTTGAGGGTGATGTCACACAGGGTGTTAGCCTTGCGGAGGTTGTTCATGGTGGTCAGGATGGACTTGGCGTGTTGGTCCGTGACAATCTGTCTGTCCAGGGACATGCTTGGTAACATAGCAGAAGGGGCCCTTTGAAATATCGGAACACTACCTGGTGTGGTAGTTCTGAAACAGGAGAGAAGGAGTAAAACTTGTTATATCATACGTCATGTACTTGTAGAGACATCAGGACCTTGTTTTTCTAGAACATTCTCATAGACAGGTCATTTATTACAGGGGGTGGGGGCGGGGGGTGGGTGGGTGGGTGGGTGGGTGGGATTGGCCTTAGGACTGTATCATATTTTGCATATTTAACATGTAACATTTTGTCATGGCCCTCCCAAATACATGTAACATTTTTCCATGACCATATCCTCCCTCCCCAAATAATAATTTAGCAGTCCCCAAATAAAGTACAAATTCATAATTTTTGTATTTGAAAAAATAGAAGTGTCATTTTTTCATGTGCCTCCTCCCTCCAACCCCTTCATCTTTCACTTTCTATTTTTCATGACAAAAGAGGGTATGGTAAATACAATCGAAATTGATAATATTCCTAACTGATTTAACAATCGATTTATTGACTTTAAGTGCTTACCAATAGCAATATATTGATATTTTGATGTATCATGACACCCCTAATGTAAAATCAGACAACAAATGTGACCAACCGTGAGATAATGGACCTTGTGGGTGACAAATCACATTTTGACTTCTTCCTATTTACTACTACTACAGTATCCTAGGACCACCAACATACAATTCATAACCCTTAATTAATATATAACAGAGATACATGGCATCAAACAGTTGGATTCATTTTCCCATTTTCAGACTAATAACTGTTAACTGTTAATGTAATGACTGCAGTTTTTCAATATAATGTCTGATACATGAACACCAGCAAGTGAGTGAGTTGGGCGTCACACCGTTTTTAACAGTATTGAGGAATGTTTTAATTATATAATGTATGCAAAACTAACTAAAGTCAACCATCCACACTTTTAGAATTAAATAATGATGTTTATCAGGTGGTTTGCATCTTCCGGAGGCAAGGGAGTTAACTGACCCTAAAAGCCCAGTCTCTGCCCTTGCCGATCTAGGCTGGAACTTCTGGGCTCGAATGTAGCGCCACCAGTGGCTGTTACAAGTTATGTCCCTTCTATGTCCCCCCTAGTGACTGGTATCTTACATCTTTCCCCAAACAAAACTGCTTAACTTACCCAGTCATGTGAGACAATCCCAAACTGCTTGATAGAAACAAGCCAACAAAAACAAGGCCAATTGTACATAGGTAAGTCACTGCTTTACAGATGTACTGCTCTTCTCAACTTTCACTGGTTGCTAGTGACGTCAATGTATATTGCGATATCAATTATTTTTTAATGTCGATGCTGTTTTGATACAGATTTATGAATATTGATTTTGAATAAGTTCATTCACTGTCACAGAAATGATCACATTTAAGATGACCATACATTATGTCAACACATAAAATTATATAGAAAAATCCATTTAATTGTTAACTGATATATCATGATACTTTTGAGTTTAATATTGATACCAAAATTTCCCAGTCAATGACACCCCTGCTGGTTTCTGATACAGCCGTGAATCATGTTTCACACCTTAATGTTCTACTAAAGTCTAAAGCTGATTTTGCACCAGCCTCTATATAAGCAAGAGTGCACATTACAGACTATGGTGGGAAAAACATGTATACCTCATTCTTCAAATCATTTACCTTAATGACACCACATATTTCGATTAAATATGTATTTTGTCAAAAGTTATTATGCTGTAAACATAAAGTGATCGACTGACTGCCAATGTTGTTGTTGGTGTTTCAGCTTGGCATACCGCAATATACCTAAAATATTCCAGTCTCATATGGTAAATTGGATTTTAAAAATTGGTATATTGTCTCCCTTGTCTCTTAAAAAATGCGTCAAAACATAGTAACTGAAAAATATATTCTTTTATTATTCTCGCGGTATTTTCAAAGAGAATTGGCATTTGCACACAGCAAAAATCAATGATTTATACATTCTTCATGCACTATAAATATTTAACTCTATTCAATCGTTCGATGTTACAAAATTATACAAATCGTCAAATGAAATTTGACCCACTGTCATTGATCGAAAAGTGAAAATACAAATTCAATCACAAACGACATATTTCCAGTGTCAGTTTCTTCGACGACTATGCGGGGCTAAGGGTCAGTACATTCTCCCACAAAACAACCAAAATGCTCGAAACTGTTTCCTGGTTACCTGACTCTGAATGAACGATGGACTGGCTCTGTTTACAAATGACGTGCTGTCATGTTGGCGTCGCAGCCACTTCCGCATGGACTCTTCTGCATAGGGAGATAGAAAAGTTGAGTGCCGAAAGCGAAAACAGTGTCGTTAAAGGAATTTTTTTTGCACGATTACCTTTAGGGGACCAGACTGATGATGATGAGATGATCGCGAGCTTAATGGAATATCAGACTGAAAATTGGATATGTTTTGCAAAAGAATATTTTGAGTGGTAATAAATAATCTCAATGCAGGATGTCATGTGTGTCCAGTTTCAAAAATGATCTCCTCGGCTACATATTTATTGTTGTTATTTCCAATAGTTGGTTCCTTATAGCTCTTTAACCACATTAAAAACTGTTATCCAGACGTTGATAGAAATATCAGATTGATCGATATTATTAACTTTACTGTACTTTACTGTAAAAGACAGACAACATTAATCAGTTGACTATGATTTTTATATCATAATTTTATGCTAGAGGATAAAAAAATGTTTTTCGCTAATCTCTCTCTCTCTCTCTCTCTCTCTCTCTCTCTCTCTCTCTCTCTCTCTCTCACACGCCTTGGACCACTGTTGGCGTAAGCCAGAAATATATTTTGACGTTATGTGAAATGACGTCACAATAGTTTTTGTGACGTCATCCCTCTGTCATCGTTGACAGTGAGCTTCCGACAAATATACAAGTTACTTCTGTGACGTCATCCCTCTGTCGTCGTTGACAGTGAGCTTCCGACAAAGATACAAGTTACTTCTGTGAGGTAAGGTGAAAAGGGGTATCGTCATGTTCAAGACTATAGTAGACTGACTCCGAACTGACCAGCCCTTGTTCAAATGTGCTTGTGACGCAAAACATAGCAGCTACAAGATATATGGTCACACACAGTGTCAGTACTATAAAAAAAGGTTTTATATAGTACTGACACTGGGTATATCTTGTAGCTGCTATTTCTTTGCGTTACAAGCCCCTGTGTCCGTGTTTAATCTTTATGCCGAGCGTCAGGTTCTTCTGTACGATAGGGGGGCACAGGTGGCCCAGTCGTCTAAGGCGCCGCGATTCGCTGTGCAGAGTCGCGTCCCTTGGGCACGCCAGAAACCTATGATTGTGGGTTCGAATCCCGATTCGCCCCGATTATGTTTCTAGGTTTGTCAGCACCATACCCGTGCTCGTGGGTTTCACCAAAGTGGTAAACGTCTGAGACCTGCATCACTTCGGGCTTTCCTCCCACATTAAGCTGACACGCCGTGATATAACTGGAATACTGTTAAAAGCGGCGTTAAATCCAACTCACTCACTCACTCACTCTGTACGATAGCTAGTTAAATCTAACGCGATGGTAGTATCATGTTGTGGGGGGCTTGTATGTGTGTGTCATACTGATATCATGGAAGTCGCATCAGAAATAATGTGTTTTACTCGCTGTCGATCGGGACATTTGTTTCGCATAGAAACAGTATGACCCATGTTAATCACACATTCTCATGTTGGTTGGTTGGTTGGTTTCTTGTTTAACGCCGCACCCAGCAATATTCCAGCTATATGACGGCGGTCTGTAAATAATCGAGTTTGGACCAGACAATCCAGTTATTGACATCATGAGCATCGATCCACGCAGTTGGGATCGATGACATGCATCAACCAAGTCAGCAAACCTGACCAACCGATCCAGTTAGTCGCCTTTTACGACAAGCATAGTCACCTTTTACGGCAAGCATGTGTTGCTGAAGACCTATTCTCCCCGGATCTTCACGGGTCCATTCTCATGTAATAGTTCTGATATAAACATACTGTGAATACACAATGCCTTTTAGAAGTGGTCAAATATAACATATAATAACACTTTCTTTGTAAAGTACAAATTATAGTACTTTTTGGCTTGAGACCCACTCTTTTGCACGTGGATATTGAATTTTTAAAACCATAAGAAAACTAGCCCAAGATGTCCCTAATGTAACAGCCTCCTTTGGTCGAAGAAAGTTAGAATATAGAAGACAAGTTGTACATACATTAGTATGCCAAAGTCAGCGATCAAAGCCACTCAGCCACCGCGGCTGACAAATACTGTTTTCAACGTAAAGAGCTGAATACAGGTTACCTGGAGATTCAACCGGGCTAAACTTAGAGTGAGGATTCAAATGTTAAATTTACACACTGTCTGTATATAAGCTGATCAAATCAGCTGTTTCCAACCATGGTTGTTATTGTGATTAAAAACCTCTGGTTGATAATTTAGAATCAAGTGTTTTCCATATTCGTGTTCTAATTTATCGTTGCACCGACAATGATCTCCGCCATATGCATGACGACGGACTTTAAGGAGTGTACATTTACATACTCTGCTACTGGGGAGTTAGTGAGAGTTGAACCTCGCTTTGAACAGTAGACGTGCCCGCTAAGGTAGAAGAAAAGCACAATCTCATTAAAATCAGATCTTAGCGCTCACTATCGCGAAACAAAATGCTTTTTTTTACTAAGGTCTGATTTTAATGAGATTGAAGAAAAACACGAAATAACTTGAGGCACTTTGTTGAAACATATGCGATCTAAAGTATAGACTAAATTAAAATTAAACCCAACTCAAGCCTAGAATGATTTGGCAAATCTAGATTCATCTCAAACCTTTACGCATTGTTCTGGTATCCATTTGATTTTACTTTATATTTTGTAGATATATATTATTAAGATTTAACTAAATTTCTTGGACTAAATGTTAGTCCAAGGTATGGTGCTGACACTTTCATTAATCGAAGAAACTGAAATGAGTTTTGAGCTCATGTTTTGATCATGTTTTTCTATATAAAAAATAACAATATAATAAATACATGTTAAAAAGATGGGCACCGTAACTTTTGCCTTTGTATATAAAATCACAAGTGTTTGATACAAGTTTTTTTTATCATAGGATTGAAATACATGTATAACAATACTTATCCCTTCCGCATGTTTTATGACGAACGACATTTTCCTCTTAAGCGACATGTCCTTGTTGCAGTTTTGATATATGTATGCTGTAATCCAGCATGATTACACAATACGAACCGGTGGAGATCCGGGTTAGAATTCGTTAACAGCAAGCCTTGCTTGTCGCGAGAATCGACTAACGGGATCGGGTGGTCAGGCTCGCTGACTTGGTTGATGCATGTCATCGTGTCCCAATTGCGTAGATCGATGTTCATGATGTCAATCACTGGAGTGTGCAGACTCGATTATTTACAGACCACCGTCATAAAGCTGGAATATTGCCGAGTTCGGCGTTAAACAACAAACAAACAAACAAAACAACAACACAACATGATGAATTTATTTACTGATATGGGCTTTCAAGGACACAATCCATCTGGTCTCTTGTCATCAGTACACTGCGCAGGGCTGAATAACACCTAGTTGCAATGCTACCAGTTGTGTACCTTGATATACCAGTCACTGACCACTGGTCACCTCTACCGGCCGGGGCTGCATGGTTGCTGGCACGGTGTATGTATACACCGTCACGTAGTAGTTCTACAAGGCGCTGTACTGGTGATACAATGGTGACCCCTGACCTGTCACCCCCTTGATATATCGGTCACTTGAGGGCATGTCTCTTACAATAACATGGAGACATGTGCATGCGTATCTCGTGCCTCGGAACACTTCATCAAACCACATTCAGCTCACGTCATGGGCACAAGCACATTCACTGATTACAGACTGATGTTATTAATACGTGTCCGCAAGTGCTATTGGTGACTGTACTTATCCGGACCAATAAGTTACACGTATAGAGTTATTATTATACCAGCATGTGTGTCATATTGAGTTGACTAAACGAGTGTCAGAATACTTGAATTTTCCGAGCGAGAGCGAGGTCAGTAAATCAGTAATAATTTCAGAATATTTTATGATAAACTCACAGCTACAACTAACTTTTCTCTGATGTGTGATAAATGGGAAAATGAACTTAATCAAAGCATTTTATGGAATAGTGTTTTCTCTAATTGCACAATGTGTACCAATGGTGTTAAACTAATAGATTTCCAGTACAGATTCATAAATAGAGCTCTGTATACCAAAAAGGAATGATTGAAAATGAGTGAGTGAGTGAGTTGGGTTTAACGCCTCTTTTAAAGTATTCCAGTTATATCACGGCGTGTCAGCTTAATGTCGGAGGAAAGCCCGAAGTTATTGAAAATGAAGTTAATGGATGATGATATATGCTTTTTTTGTGTCTCTGAATCTGAAACCCTATACCATGTGTAAGTAGAATGCATTTTTGTAAAGGATTTTTTTGTTAGAAATTGAAATGTACCTAAACTCGAAACTTACATATGATATTCATATTACCATTCTGGATAAGGTATTTTGCTACAACAAAAACAACTTCTATCTTTTCAACCATATAATTCTACTTGCAAAATAATACATTCACCAGTCAAGCATTAAGAAAACTCCATTATGCTTTCCTTTTTTCATAAAGATATTGAAAGGTGTGTGTAAAAAAGAAACATTTATCGCAATGAAAAATAGTAGTATTAACAGATTCGACAGAAAATGGAAGGAATTATCAGCCTACTTATAATTTCTCAGTCAATCAATATATGTACATACCCATATCTGATCATGTTTTAAGATTCTATGAATTGCTACACTTATATATCTCATGTAACAATGCTTCATTCATGTCTACTGAATTGAAATAAAAAAAAAAAATTAAAATAAATAAAATGTTTTTTTCTTTATTACCCATTATTTCTTAATTCTTTTATGCTTAAAACAAAATGCACTGATCACGACCGCCGTCTCAGAAACCACAATTGTCGAATGACGTCAACAATTTTCAGCTAGGACGTCATTTCTAGTGTGACGTCATTCCACCCTGTTGTTTACGCCACACTCAGCAATATGCCAGCTATATGACGGCGGTCTGTAAATAATCGAGTCTGGACCAGACAATCCAGTGATTAACATCATGAGCATCGATCCACGCAATTGGGATACGATGACATGCATCAACCAAGTCAGCGAGCCTGACCACCCGATCCCGTTAGTGGCATTTTACGACAATCATAGTCGATTTCTACGACAAGCATGGGTCGCTGAAGACCTATTCTACCCCGGATCACCTCTAAATAAGAGAGAAATGGTGGCCATGCGAGTAAATGACATAATGACATACTTTCCAAAAAGGGAAGGCGATCCTGAAATAATAAATGTCATGATCGGTCTTTAGAAGTAAGATCAGCTTTGAAAAATGCCAGCAACAGTAAGAACGGTTTCGGTACAACCCAGACATGCACGTGAGCCATGCAATTTCTCCGTGCACTTGGGTCATTCTTGATTTTGACACTTCAGTGAAAGGTCGTCAAATAGCTCTGAGCCATTAGTATTGTTGATTTAAGTCCTTCAGCTAAAGTACTCTTGCTATTATACAGTATATACAAAGATCGCCAATATGTTCAATGTGTCTCTGTCTGCCATTTGCAGCCTTTGGATCAGACTTCTGCAGACAACAAATGTTAATGATCGGTAGAATAAGAGTTATCGTTCTTGTTGGAAGTGGTTGCATTCATACGCCAATATAGAAGGGCACGAGTCTACAATCGGCTTGTCCCGGAATGGGACGAGTTGGTCACGAATGGTTACGGAAATGTGCAACCATTCGCCACCACTCGCCCCTTTCCGTAACTTGTCCCGAAATAACACGAGTTGGTCACGAATGTTGCTTGCAGGGTTAGGAAAAGGGCGTGAATGGCGACGAATGAAAGAAATTCGAGACGCATTTTGGATAGTCGAAGGAGGGAAGTAACTCTGCCTATCGTTATGTTTGTCGTCGGTGTAATCCATCTTTAAATACCTTAAGCAAATAACATACCCACTTGACCACAAGTACAGGATGTTAACGACCACATCCTGATCAATTTTTGCAAATATTTATGAAAAGTATTATCAACCGAAGGGATTGTTTTCCTTAATTGTTTTTATCTTCTTCTGCCGTTGTCTGAGCATGGAAATCAGAAACAATAAACAATTACTGATGCTAACTTGCTGACAATCGTTTGCGCATGTGTACCACGTACATCCATAGGCCATGTCCTAGGTGCGCTGCGCAAGCGAAGTTCCACGTAAAGCAAAGCTTGTGCATCGCAGCGAGGATATGCTACCAGTCTCTGTATTTCCGTTCCAGTAACAGCAAGAGAGACGATATACCGACCTTTCATGTAACCATTGAGAGTTATTTCGTTTCCAAGATGCAGCTATCACGAATAACAAGTCAGGTGTTCACAACAACAGAGACCCGCCCGGGTGTAACTGAGCGTAAACTGTTGGTTTGATATAATTGGAGCAACGGTCATCCATTAGTCTGTGCACAGTTGCGTCCCTTAGCTGTGCCAGGGATCACCGGAGCATTTGTTCGAATCCGGAATTCGCCTTAAACGTGATGCTTGCGCGATTTCTATGCCCGATTTCGTGAATTTCACCGAAGAGGTAAATGTATACAGCATCCATAACTTCGGACTATTCTCCCTAATTAAACTATGATCTGACGACGGAAATACAGTAAACTACGGTTATAACGAACACAAAGGGACCAATAATTTTAGTTCGTAATAACCGTAGTTCGTTATAAGCATATTTACAGCATGTATACAACAGATGGTCGGGACTAAAATTAAGTTCGTTTTATCGGTCAGTTCGTAATAAGCGTGTTCGTTATAAACGCAGTTTACTGTACTCTTCAGAGAGGCGTTAAACCCCACACACTCACTCAATTTTAAATGTCTACACATATAGTGCCGAGCAATAGAAGTATACACCCATGTCTGACGGTGGCTAAAAATGAAACAAATAAGAGATTGCAGGTTATATGCTATGGGGATAAATATGACACGGGTACCATAGTTATGTTTTTGGACGTTAAGTTTGCAGTGTTTTAGCAACTGTTTCCAGCCTCGTAACGTCTTGATAACATTTGTAATATTTTGGTGAAATCTAATTTTCAAGGGTATACCTTCTTTTGCCCGAGAGTGTAGACGGCATACACTATACACATTCATCGACACTCCAGGCTCGGAATGAAATGGTGAAATCGACACCGAGTTTTGTGATATCGACAACAGCGAGGATGTTGATAACACTGAAATAGACACCGAATACGCCTGTGTTGACAAGATGGCGGTCTGCAAGCTGATGTGTTTCGCCCTGCTTATGGGGGCAGTCTGCTCTTCAACAGGACGGGTAAATCTTTGATGTTTTGTTGAAAAAATCTTAATATAACGTTGATTGGGGTTTTTGAAAATATTTTTTTGTTTTCTCCGATCATTATGTGGCAAGACGCATTTGTGTGTCTGTCAAATCGTACCATAAAATACATATTTATGGTACATGTAAGTGCTTAATTAATCAATTAATAGGCTTAACAAGCATCATAAGTGCACCTGGGATTGACCTTTCTCTTAATGACAAGGTTTACTGTTGTGAATGTCTCTGTGGGATAAGGGTAATCTTTTAATGCTACGTCTTTGTTTACTTTCATCAAAATTTGCCATAACTGCCACATTGTCAGAGCTTGATGTCTCTTTTAAGCTATGCACGTTGACTTCACGTCCTTTTTGTATTGATTATGACTAATCATCAATATTGGAATAACCATTTCTCTTGTGGGCACGGGTGGCCCAGTCGCCTGAGGCGTCGCAGTTCGCTATACAGATACTATGATGATGAGGTCGAATCCAACATTCGCCCTGACCGTGTATCTAGGCTTGTCACCTCCACCCCGTGATCGTGGGTTAAAGTATCTGAGACCTTCATCACCTTGAGTCTTCCTACCACTGTACCACATCAAGCTAATGCGCCGTTAAATAACTGAAATACTGCTCAAAACTGCGTTTAACAAAACTCACTGACTCTACGTCTCTATGATATAACCATGATTTAACGTTCACGGGACAATAATTCATAAACGGAATTCCAACCGATACATTTTATATATGATTACATTATATCATAATGAAACAAGTATACATACATACTTTATGTAAACTTTCTTATATGTAGTATCTAACAAATGCATAAAAGTAAATGATTATGATTTAAGTAAAATTATTTGATAAAAAAAAATCACAAAGCAACTTACTGTTTTCTGCGGTACATCCTACGCGAAAATATTAACATTGTACACTGTCTCCCTCTCATTAACACATACGAAATATAAACCTATAAAATCTGTTTACAATAATTTCGGAATTGATTTCCTTGTTGCATATTGTATGACTGTCTTCGTCTTTCAGGCCAATGAAAATGCAGAGAAGAAAAGGGGGTTCCCCTATCAGTTTGAAGCACCAATGAACGAAAGAGGTAAAATCGCGACCACATATATACAGTGGTCAACCGAAACACAAACAGCTTATAAGATTAGAAAGCTATCACTGGATAGTCACAATTCTGTTCCTTTTAAACAACATCCAATAATATTGTAAGGATATTGAGTTTGTTTGTCGTTTGTTTAACCTACTCACTGCAAGATTGAGGGGATATCAAATAAATAATCGAGACAAACCAGTGATTGATGTATGAAGGTTATTATACAAGCGTGTGTCATACTGATTTTACGAAACAAGAGTCAGAGTTCTTGTATTTCACGAGCTTACTGATCACGACCGCTGTCTGAGAAAGCAAACAATCTTCAGCTGTGACGTCGTTTCTGGTGTGGCGTCATTCTGAATGACGTCAACAATGCCGTCCGGACGACGCAAACAATACACTGGCGCGCGTGAAGTGATATTTGCACTAGTGCACATACGATATTTATTAACTCGGTTATTTCTTATCCAATATGAGTATAAATGGAGGATATAAGAGTATAAATGGAGGATCTCACCCAAGTGTATTTTGATATAAAATATATCTACACGAGTCGAATGTTGATATAATTGATATCAAAAGACACAAGGGTGAGATTCTATTTATCATCCAAAATAATTCTTCCAACTTTTTCAGTTTGTAGACGTCACAATGGTCTGAAAAGTATTGCGATGCCATTTCATTGCAGCGATATCTATAATGTACATATATATACATGTATATCTCACTCAAGCGATCTGTCCTGTGTGAATCAGTTTTGTATGATAAATATAGAATACTAAATTACCTCCCCTGTAATACCAATTTTATGAAACGAGTGAATAGTTCTGGTATTTGATGAGCGAAAGCGAGTCAGATACCAGAACTATTCACGAGTTTCATAAAATTGGTATTACACGGGAGCGAGTTTAGTATTTTATTTATTACGTGCCATTTATACCTTTTTTAGAATTTCACTGTCGTGTATGAATAGGCAGACACCTACACGATCCACAACGTAATCCCTACACGATCCACAACGTAATCCAACTGAGTTTAACAGAATAATACTTCAAACACGTAAAACGTTGACACATATTAATTTAATACCTTACAACGGCCCACCTTTAGAATTCATGCGTCCGTTCCATAAAGTTATGGTAGCGCTAAGGTTATCGTAACTCACATACTTTAACAGAAACTTACGACTATAGTTGCTCTACACTACGATAGCATTGTGGAACGGGACCCTGCACCACAGAGTTTACAATCACGTCACAATACTCTATGACGTTATTTGTGGAAAACAAAACAATGCCATGTGACGTCAGTCTAGCAACGGGGTTGCTAGGGTTAGTGTGTGTGCATAAGCCCCTCTCGGTGATCTCCTCACGTAATGCCGTTGAATAAGTTCTGAGAGCTCTCAGTGTTTTTTAGTGGAACTTGTTCCCGCAGTACATAAGCACACATGTGTAATACAGCTGTATGTTTATTAAACAGGCGATCTCTTCATGGGGAAGTAATAAATATGTGCAACATCCCACGCCGCGGGGATACAATGCAAACAGCCAAGTCGTACGGTAATCGTCGGTTGTCGGGGACTACTCTCACCCGGAATAACAATGTACTGATACTATTACAAGAAGATATTGTGATAAATATTCGACCATTGAACAGTTTGCTATCATATCTGTACAATGGAAACAGAAACTAACCGCAAGCTTTCTTATCAGGGCGGGAAATATGCGAACTGAAGTTATAAATAATCAAACCTAATGAAATGTTGACGTCGGTATGATAACAAATAGGGTTTCACTCCACCACTTACCTCCGTGGGGATACCGATGACGAATTGAAGACCCCCTGTCATATGTTGGTAATATTGTTGTTGTTGTTTGTTATTTTACGCCGCACTCAGCAGTATTCCAGCTATATGTCGGCGATCTGTAAATAATCGAGTCTTGATCAGACAATCCAGTGATTGATATCTTGAGCATCTGGGATGCGATTGGGATGCGATGACATGCATCAAAAAGTCAGCGAGCCTGACCACCCGATCCCGTTAGTCGCCCCTAACGACAAGCATAGTCGCCTTTTACGGCAAGCATGGGTTGATGAAGACCTATTCTACCCCGGATCTTCACGGGTCGTTAGTAAAAAGAGCTGACTGGTGATTATATCCAGTTCCCGTTGTATATGCAGAAATGTATCTATCTTGCAGAAGATCACTTTTTGTGCAGACCTCGTACAAAATTCATCAAATAATAAGCATAATTTTAACATGTGAGTCGAAGGCTGTTGTAGTGTAAAAGTTGCAAAGGTTACTAAAACGAAAGTCGTTGTTAGATTTGTATTTTATTAATTCATTCATTCCACATAATTACTTGAAGTGTTTGTGTCACATGGAAAAAAGGAAAAACAACCCAAACAATTTACAACCACCTTTTAAACATTTTACGTTTTGAGAAATGGCTAAATGAAATCGATATCCTGATTTCGTTTTGGAAATGAAGCTGGCTTTTGTATTATTGCTTACCGATAGTGCATGTCTATATGTTAACAGATTCACTTTAATAAACTATACAGGCCATGGACACGTTTGTCAGCTACATGCCTGACACAAGTCAATCAGGTTCAAAACTAGCAAAAATTCACGAAAATTAAGCTTAAAAGTTTGCAGAACTGTGTGCAAAATCATCAAAAATTAGTTGTAGAATTTACAAAAAATCTAGATTTTTTGGGCCGCGGAATACAGCGGGTGCTGACAATCGGATGATAACAATGTGTGAACTGGCTGATTGTGCGTCATTGGGGTGGGATACACTTCTCCAAATCAAATTTCTAAAATAATGTGCAATTCGTATACATTTGAATTGTTGGGTGACGAGATCTAGACCGATTTAGAGTACAAAACACCCCGGAATAAAGGAGGTTCTAGCAAGAGTTATGTCCCTTTTAAACTCGCAACTTCGAACTCGCAACCCACTCTCCTACCCAGAGTTCCATGCGGCCGGCAGCCAGCTAGCATAGTACCTCTGCCACAGGCCAGCGCCATGTGACGATTCGTCACATCTTTCACAGTCCATTCAAGATATTGCATATGCTTTTCATCCGTTTCATGTTTGACAAGTCTACACATTTTCAAAAACAAATGTCAAAGAATGGTTAACTTTCATTGAGAAAGTATGCAAATACGTAAAAATCTACTTGTTTTTGCGTAGTTATCCTATGTTTACATTGGTTGTACGGCTCCACGTTCTGTCATCGAAGCCCAACGGAGAGCTAGCGACACGGTCACTTTGATGCATAAATATATATTGTCATGCAACTCACTGTCGCAGTTGTAGTAGCATATCTATGTAGTAATGCAAAACAATATGTAAAGCGCCCCCAAATGCTTGCATTAGTCCGTTCTATACTGATTTCTGAAAAAGCGCGTTTGTTTACAAACAAGAGAAAAGTCCGGTCACGTGATATACAAATTAGCCTGTGGCAGTGGTGTTATGCTGAGTCACCGCTGCGACGGAGTGTGCTCGCAACCAACTGACCGTAATGTTTGCAAACAAGTGATGACTTCCGTGACGCCGAATATTATTCACCCAGCTAAATTATTTTCTTTGTTTGTCAATTTGAATTTCTTTTTTATTTCAACTATCATGCAAATGGTATTTTGTAAGGGGGGGGGGGGGGGGGGGGGTGGGGCAGTTTGGGGATTTTCTGTTCGTCTGCAATCTCGAACCAATCTGATCAAACAAGCAAAAAGGTAAATTCATCTAGGAAATCTGGTCGGTCGTAAACCTTTTCAAAATTCACTTTGATTGCATTCACAATGACATAATAAAAAAAAAGAAACGTGACTACATCTAGGGTGAGAGGGCACACGTCAAGAGTCTAGTGGGGTGGTCGGGTAGCCTGGTGGTTAAAGCGTTCGCTCGTCACGTCGAAGACCCGGGTTCGATTCCCGACATGGGTGCAATGTGTGAAGCCCATTTCTGGTGTCCCCCGCCGTGATATTGCTGGAAGCGGCGTAAAACCATACCCCACTCACTTGATTGAGTGAGTGAGTGAGTTTGGTTTCACGCCGCTTCTAGCAATATTACAGCAATTTCGACGTGACGACCGAACACTTTAACCACTAGGCTACCCGACCGCCCCCACTCAATTAAGAGTCTAGTAACGGTCTCTTCCACACCGACGGCTGCGATGTCAGCCGAGAGTCTAACGAAGGTGAAACGCGCTGGGGAGGAGCTTGCAACAATTTATGTAAATGATCACGGTCCGTTGCCAGTACGTGATTATGCTTACATATATATTGAAGGGATCATCTTTAAATCTTCATGTAACTCTTCATTCACTCTTTTTCTTTTGAGAACGTGTCACTATGTCAACACGATCATTATAAATACTCGGCCGTTATGGAAAAGATGTTTTTGGTTGAAAGAGAGCTAAAATATTCATACGTTTTAAATGCATATTTGATACCGTTGTATTCAAATTCAAATGGGTCACTATTCCAACAGAACCATCTATAACATCTAAATACACTTTTTATGTCTAAAACTTCATGTTTTTGCAGCATTTCGGGAGCACATAAAGAGACTTGAAAACGCATCGAGATATGGTGTAGGTAAGTTGGAATATATGTATAAATATCGAATTAAGAACATCATTCTCTAGTTCTTGTCAATCCTAGTATACAATACCATCACCCAAACAGGCCCCGCTAGGTTCACTGTAACTAGGGAAGAAATATGCCGCTACAAGATATTTCAGATTATCCGTCCTTTTGCAAGGGTTTTTCAGCATCCATTTACGAGGGAAAGACATTCCGTTATTGCGAGTGAGTGAGTGAGTGAGTTGGGTTTAACGCCGCTTTTAACAGTATTCCAGTTAATATCGCGGCGTGTCAGCTTAATGTGGGAGGAAAGCCCGAGGTGATGCAGGTCTCAGACGTTTACCACTTCGGTGAAACCGGTGGGTATGGTGCTGACAAACCTAGAAACATAATCGGGGCGAACCGGGATTCGAACCCACAATCCTAGCTTTCTGGCGTGCCCAAGGGACGCACTCTGCACAACGAATCGTGGCGCCTTAGACGACTGGGCCACCCGTGCCCCCTTCGTAATTGCGAGTTTCGAGTAGGTTATTATATATTATCCAATGACGTTTCATGAGAAACAGTGTCAATATCGGAAAGTTAGTACACTCAAGCATTCTACCCTTATTCTACTAGCTCTGATAAACGCCAGGTAACTATTGGAAGAATAGAGGCCAGATCTCTCTCACACACCGGGCCCAGCAAATAGTCAGAGAGGGGGACCGGGGTTGACCCAAACGCCCGTAAAATATACCCAAAGACCACACACTGCCAAAATTGGCATGGTTCCATGTTAATTCGGTGCACCAAACCTGGCTTGCACGTTTATAATAGTTGCATGCAATGCATATATTTATTTAAGCATTTAAGTTGCCGGTGGCATGTAGCCCGTGTTAGGGTTGTTCCCACTGTGAGAACACCCCGTTTTAATTGTATGAATAATATTGTATACCCAAATATATTTGACAAATTTATTTATTTTTAAGAGAAGTTTGTATTCATGACTCAACTTGTTCCCGTCGCTATATGGCTGAAATAATGCCGATGCGACGGTAACTTTTAACTCATCCACTCAGCATTTAAACTGACCACTACATGTAGACATTTTGTGGATGCTATATGTTCATTGATGATAACGTCAAAGTAACCGTGGGAGTTGAACGCACGCCGCAACGATAAATGTATATCTCGAAGTCTGTCATATGTTAGACATGAAGACCTGTATGTACAAGTAGAATTCAAACGTACCATGTGATTAATGCACACTCAGTTATATCCTCACGTGTCTCGAATTCCAACTCGAGTGAAGAACTACTGTGCAAGGCCGCTGTTACCTTTTTTAAACGGGAGGGGGGGCAAATATTTGTACAACTATCACTTGTCCCCAATTTGATTCAAAACTGTTTTCTATAAAAATAATCTAGGGGGCAACTGCCCCCCCCCCCCCCCCCCCCCCCCCCCCCCCCCAAAAAAAAAAAACCGAATCATTTTCAACTTTAGAAATAATACATATCCACCAACATTCCAATTCATACAGGAGCTCACTGAATTTTATAAGTTAACAAAATATGCCTCCGTCATTAATTGTAACAGAAATTACTTTGATAAACTTTGGTCAGGCTGTCATGCTTTATTACTGTGAATATATTGTCCTGCAAAACCGTGTAAATGCTCTAGAAAAATAAACAAATTATTTAAAAAATATTGAGCGCCATATACATTCGATTCGACTGTAATCCTCGATGCTGTGTTTGTAGACGGTGACCCAGACTTCATAGTGGACGTGCAGGGGTTGTTGATCAGCTATCCGCTTTGCTTCCATGTCGGCGGGCAACAGGGAGAGGTGCTCCGTCTCCTTCAACACCAAAACCTGTGTGAGTGGTCTCCCTTCTCTGACTGAGATGCAAGCTCCTTCCCAGCGCGTGACACCTTCGTTACACTCTCGGTAACATCGCTGCCACCAGTGTGGGCGCGGCCATTACAAGAATCTTGAAATTTGCCCTCAAACCCCAAACGTAGTAACGTTGATATTTTTGTTTTTGTCTTTGGGAATGCCATCATATTTCATTTTGAAAAGGTTTACGACTGACCATGTTTTCTAGATGAATTTACTTTGTTGTTTTAATAATCAGATTGGTTCGAGATTGCAGACTAACGGAAAATCAACCAACTTCTCCCTTACATTCTTACTATATCAATAACACGATAGTTTAAATGAAATAGAAATTCAAATTGACAAACCAAGAAAGTAATTTAGCAGCGATAAGTGTATTCGGCGTCACGACAGTCGTCACTTGTTTGTAAACATAACGGTCATTCGGTTGCGAGTTCAACTCCAAGCATGGTTGTGGCCACCTATTCAATGTGGGGAGTTTTGACTGGTGGCAGCGATGTAGACATGATGGGGTATTGTATTAACCAACCACTAAAAACATTGACTAAAATTGGAATTTATGATCGTCGGATCGTGGCACAACAAGGGGGCACAACTCTGCACAGCGAGTTGTGGTGCCGAACTCACTTACCAACTTAGTACAGTTTTTCAGTTTCTTAACGGCGTAGCCCACGGTGTCGTTGTACTAATCAACCTTAGCGCTACGACTGTCTTCGTTGAGGTATGGGAGTTACGATCACCAAAGATCGCTTTTTATAACTGTACCCTGTTCCTAGACATGTGACCCAAGATTCGGGGTAGATTAGGTCTTCAGCAACCCATGCTTGCTGTAAAAAGCGACCATGCCTGTTGTAAGAGGCGACTAACGGGATCGGGAGGTCAGGCTCGCTGACTCGGTTGATGCATGTCATCGATCCCAATTATGTGGATCGATGTTCATGATGTCAATCACTGGATTTTCTGGTCCAGACTCCATTATTTACAGACCGCCGTCATATAGCTGGAATATTGCTGAGTGCGGCGTAAAACAACAAACCAAACCAAACCAAACCCTAGACATGTTCCAGTTTTTGTGAAACCCACGATCACTCGATCAGCAGTCGTTGGTACTGACAGAACGGAGCGAACCAGGGATTCAAAACATAATGAGGCCAGGGTTATTATTTATTGTATGTGTCAAGAGATAACTGGACAGTTGTCGATATTGGTTTAATGAGAATTATCTAGACGAATCTTTCAGTTTCTATTAAACGAGTGAGTGAGCATATTGTGGCTTCAATTGGGTTAAATCAAATCTCTCATCAAAGGACAGTACAATAACTGGCAATATATCACAGATTGTCTTTTAAAACTAGTCTTAGAACACTAAAAATATCACACTCTGTGACACCCCAGCAGGACATGCTCCATCGGTAGAGAGTAGAGTGACCTAGAATAGATCTTCAGCAACTCATGCTTGCCATGAAAGGCGACCTGCTTGTCGAAAGAGGCGACTAACGGGATCGGGTGGTCAGGCTCACTGACTTGGTTGATGCATGTTATCGCAATGCTCACTATATCAATCACTGGATTGTCTGGTCAAGACTCGATTATTTACAGACCGCCGCCATATAGCTGGAATATTGCTGTGTGTGGCGTTAAACAACAAACAAACAAATAAACAAAAACTAGGCGATTCCACAGTTTTGTGTTATACGATTAGGGAGTGCTCTTCACAAGGAATATCACTAAGACGATGATCTAAAACAGAATCCACTATTGGCACATTTGACTAATATGGAATATTTCTTTTCAGCGCTTTTCGTCAACGCCAAAATAATTGAACGAAACGAGACTCGCAAGACGTACCTGGGATCAGTTGCCATTATTCGTCATAATGTGAGAATATTCGCCACAAGAAGAGCCGTCCAGATCAACCGATATACCTTCAGCTGGTCAGGTATGACCGCCTTCCGCTTGTACGGCCATCGGGTCGTCGTTGGCCAGAATCTCTTGGCCGTGACCTTCAGAAACAAAAACGTAACGCTTGTCATCAGACGTCACGAGATATCAGTGGATTATGAGGACTCTTTCGTGGAGCCATCCAATAATGTTGGAGAATCGATGTCAGAGATTGTCCAGAGTCATATGACGCCATCAAATCACGACGTGACGTCCCGAAATCACGATGTGCAGTCACCAAATCCGAACTTCGCCTATCTCGGGTTCTACATTGCAGATTCTACAGGACTTACCGCGCCATGCCATGGCCTCTTGGGTAATGCACTCAAAAATCAATTAACTAAAGTTCCATATGTAACAGTAATATTACTTGTAGACAATTTCGATCGATTTAGTATTTTCACTGTAAAAAGAAATGACGTCATCCGCTGTTTGATGACATCAAATAATTCGAAAGTGACGTCATATAGGTGTGTCGTCACTCCGCAGATTATTTCTTTTCTAGATGATTTTGAGTAAGATAACATACAGTAAACTACGGTTATAGCGAACTCAAAGGGACTACTAATTTTAGTTCGTCATAACCGTAATTCGTTATAAGCATATATACAGCATAACTACAGCAAATAGTCGGGACTAAAAATGTAGTTCGTTATATCCGACAGTTCGTTATAAGCGTGTTCGTTATAACCGTAGTTTACTGTAGATTTATGTTACTTTTACTCATTAAGTAATTCACTCCTAGCTGGGGGCCTTGGCAAACATGGAGAAGCGACGTGACGTGCCAACGCTTTAGCCATTAAGTGAATGATTGAGTGAGTTAGGTTAAACGCTGCTTTGAACAGTATTCCAGTTATATCACGGAATGCTCTTTAATGTTAGAGGAAAGCCCGATGTGATGCCGCTCTCAGACGTTTACTACTTTGATGAAACCCACGAACACGGGTATGGTGCTGACGAACCGAGAAACATAATCGGGGTGAACCGGTATTCGAACCCAAGATCATAGTTTTCTAGCATGCTCAAGCGGTGCAACTCTGCACGGCGAATTGCGCCGCCTGAGACGACACCCCCCTTTAGCCACTAAGAGTGAGTGAGTGAGGATTGTTTTACGCCACTTTTAGCAATATTTCAGCAATAACAAGGCGTGGGGCACCGGCAATGGGCTTCACACATTGTACCCATGTGGGGAATCGAACCCGTCTTCGGCGTGACAAGCGAACACTTTAACCACTTTTTTGTAACCACTTTAACCAAGTTGGAAGTATCTTTCATTAAATAAATTTTTAAAAGTCTTTTTTTTCTTACCAGGCCAGTTTGTCCATAAAAGTGTGCTACTCACTTCCGTGCAAGTAAGGAACGGAAAGAGAAAGGGGAAAATCGCAGTTGTCTCCCCTTTTTACAGCACGCACACTTTCAGCATGGCTACATTAACTGAACGCACGAATCACGGCACAGGGAGAAATGTGACCTGCTGGCGTCTCCGACGTGGCGGAGACAGCATTGTTGACGGTAACTACATCGACTACATGGTCTCACATCTTCGGGACACAGAGATCATAAGGTTTCACTGAACACCTGCACTCACTTTCAACTGTGTCGGGACAAGGTTACGGAAAGAGACGAGTGATCACGAAACCGATGTTGGCCTAAAGAGAACCACTGTTCTCAGAATACAAAGATTTTCACAGAATCATATATAATGTGAGAACGTAAACATATTACCATATTGGTATTGGTTACGATATATGCTTTATAAACTACGAAAATAATTGGATTAGTTTATTAAAATAATCTTGCAGCAGTGAATACCAAACACTGGCTAAAGGACATATAGTGAAACCCCACTAATACGGACAGTACCGTTCCCAGTGAAATATCCACTCTTGGATGCATAGTTTTGTTTGTTTGCTGTTTAAAGCCGCAGTCAGCAATTCAATACTCCACTTTTGGCCTGTAATAATCGAGACAAGCAGATAATCCAGTGATTGACATGAACATCGATCTCCACAATTGAGATACGATGACATGCACCAACAAAGTCAACGAGCCTGACCACCCGATCCCGTTAGTCGCCTCTTACGTCAGTGATACCCTGTGACGCCATGAAATAATCAGTAACGGTGTATGTATGTATTACGTTTGCGATGTTGTAGGGAGCGCGAAATCATAATTCACATGTGTTTCTAAAACACGTTTGTCCCAATATTATGACTAATAAATTGTGTCATATAGACGTTGGGTGTTTGACGTCATTCAATCCGGCGACATTGAGACCTTCTACGAGTGTTATATCAAACTTGGTACAGGGAAACCAGCCAAGAGCATCGAACCATCCACTGAAAACAAGTATCTTCATATGATCATCACTTACTGTAGTTCTACCCACACTCGCAATTCCAGTTATATCTCGGAGTGAGTGAGTATGGTTTAACGCCGCTTTTAGCAATATTCCAGCAATATCACGGCGGTGGATACCAGAAAATGGCTTCAAACATTAGATGTGGGGAATCGAACCCGGGTATTTTCGTGACGAGCGAACGCTTTAACCACTAGACTACCCCATCGCCCATCTATCTCGGAATCTCGAAGTTTAATTACACATATGGCGGGTCTGCTCGGAGTCAGTATAGTGTGTGTGAGTGAGGTGTACATGTTAAACTGCGGCATGGTATCTCAATGGGATAGGGGGCGGTCGGGTAGCCTAGTGGTTAAAGCGCTCGCTCGTCACGCCAAAGACTCGGGTTCTATTCCCGACATGGGTACAATGTGTAAAGCCCATGTCTGGTGTCCCCCGCCGTGATATTGCTGGAATATTGCTAAAAGCGGCGTTAAACCAAACTCATTCACTCACTCACTCAATTGGATAGCACTATAAAACCGGCATTTGGCCGGAATGGTACAGACAGACACGCACGCACGCACGCACGCACACATGCAGGAAGCTTATAAGTGCATTATTCTTGAACGCAACGATAAACCCTATGTCACCTCACCTATAAACACGGACAGTCATAGTCTGGTTTCCCTATTAACTATAAACACAAACTGTACTTCCGAGGTAAACATAATCATGAAGGAGTTGTTCTGATTGTACTGACAGGTAACACTTTCACCTGAAGATGAACGCCCTCAGAGCACTCCCGAACACAGCCGATTGTGCCCAAAGCTACCATAAATTTGTTCCTAGTGTGTTATTTTTAGCACGAAAGACGTCATCCTCCTCAATAATCACATGTGAATGGATGGCTGATTCCTTAAAGTACGCGTTGACAACTATACATTAGAGCGACTTGTCATCTACTCGACGTCTTCATCCGAAAGAGTTCCATCATCCATGAATAGATATATTGTTCAGATACAGAAACCTCGTGAAGTCTACATTTATATTTTTTAGGTAGATTTAAAAATAATTAATTTGTCCCAGTCAAAAGAGAAAAAAATATATTTGGTCCTCAGGGTCTGCCAAAAAAGTCTTGTTATTGCTGGAAGGGAAACAACAATCAAATTCTTAGTCCTCTAGCCGGTACCTTTTTAATTAGCCCGCCAAATCACCATAAGCCAATTTGCGTCAGGGACCCAACAAAATTGCCTTCTCACCAGCGAGGGGCAAACTGGGGGAGGGGGGGGGGACCTCGTTGACAGCGTGAGGGAATCCTCGCATTTGAGTGGATGAAAATTCATCTGCATGTGTAAATGTGTATGTACAGTTATGTAATTTAGGATACAGGAAATACGTGTCCGTTTTATTTTTGTAACAATTAAAATCAACAGCAACGACCCTTTTTTCAGGCGAACTGCATATAATACAACAATTACTACTCCCTTCTTGTCATCATTCTTGTGTATTTGTCGTCATTCACTTGATGCTCAGTTAATGACTTTATTACAGGTATAATAAGTGGTAGAACCACAAGAGTTATTTGACAAAGACTATGCAAAATAACGTTCACCCCTGCCTCTGAGGGTGTCAATGTAATACAGCAATCAGTGGTTCGCTTGTGTCTGGGGTAATTACTTATCTCCGATACGGTTATAAATCCAGGTTTGATGAGGTGAATGTACAACATGTTATGTAATATGCACGTGACAGGGCAGCTGGATTGCAAAAACAAACATCGAAGATAATACGTTGATCGATTAATCATTGTTATCTTGCACAGTAGATTTGTCCAAAGTAAGTGTTTACAAGTGTATATTTACTAAAGCAGACGGAATAGTGCCTATTGCAACACGGAATCCCCGCGGTGCAGTCCGACAAGCTTAGGTTGCTAGGGAACTATTGTAACACGGAATCCCCAAGGTGCAGTCTGACAAGCATAGGTTTTTATGGACCTATTGTAACACGGAATCCCCAAGGTGCAGTCCGACAAGCATAGGTTGCTACTGACCTATTGTAACACGGAATCCCCAAGGTGCAGTCCGACAAGCATAGGTTGCTAGGGAACTATTGCAAAACGGAATCCCCAAGGTGCAGTCCGACGAGCATAGGTTGCTATGGACCTATTGCAAAACGGAATCCCCAAGGTGCAGGCCGACGAGCATAGGTTGCTAGGGAACTATTGTAACACGGAATCCCCAAGGTTCAGGCCGACGATCATAGGTTGCTACTGACCTATTGTAACACGGAATCCCCAAGGTGCAGTCCGACAAGCTTAGGTTGCTAGGGAACTATTGTAACACGGGATCCCCAAGGTGCAGTCCGACAAGCTTAGGTTGGTACTGACCTATTGTAATCCCCACGGTGCATTGGTTTTGACTTCTCGAGTCAGGGCTACCACGAGAGCAGGTGGTATGTTTGTTAACAAGATCATAAATGTCAAACCATGACACACTAGGTCTGCATGTTTCCTTGATTTCACGGATAGCAGCTAAATAGAACATTCAATCATTCTGGAGACACGCAATGCTTACACCTGCCACCGTGTACTTTGATGACTTCACTCAGAGAGCGGTGTATGCAACAACTATGTCTTGAATAATGAATCATTTTTGATAAATGTCTGTTGCATAATTCATATTAAATGCGAAAACATCGGTTTGGCGCCTCACGCTGACGTATTTGTAACGGATATTGAAACGATTTACATATTCCGCTTAAAACTGTTTACATACTATTCTAAACCTGGGATTGTGAATGAAGACGAGCTATACTTCTTAGCTACAATTGCAAAACCAGAAATATTTTTAACTAAAAAGATTAGCTTGTATATTTAAAAAATAAAATAAAACAGCCCTCAGTGTGCGTGTGCGTGCGTGTGTGTGTGTGTGTGTGTGTGTGTGTGTGTGTGTGTGTGTGTGTGTGTGTGTGTGTGTGCAATGATCTGACCCGATCTTGTTACGGGTTTAATTATTATCCGCTGTACTCCACGCATAAGCATGCACAAAGCGCTTAGACATTATTACCCTAGGCGATGGATCAGTGTACGCTCATTATTTATTCTCAACTCCTAGGGAATATTCAACCCATGCTGCCCGTGCCCGTAGGTTAACAGTCACATTACTCTCTCGTACTACCGGGTACCCATACACTGCTGGTTGAACAGAGGCATATTACGAACATAGTATTTATGTTGGATATGACTCGCAACGGGCCTTTTATAGTTTATTCCTGACATTAGTAAAGGCAATAAATCCTTAATAAATGTCAAAGAACGTACATGACGTACACCACTCACTACCTTTATCTTGACCATATGTACCTGACGTCAGTCTATCATAGAATATAATAACTCCCCAGGTTAGATAAACAAATCTTATTATTTTCATTGGAATGCAAAATACTGGTGTATAACTACATATAGTGATTGACACTCCGTGACACCAGGGAATGCAAAACGTTTGCAACCCGTACTTCCGCCAGGGCGTGTGTAACACACGCGGATACAAACACCTACTTTGACACTTCGGGTAATTGACAGCAATATATGTGAAATGAACATGCGTCCGCCCGATAAAGCAGGCACAACGCCCCAGTCAAAACATGCATGTACATTTCAGGAAGCTATTCTTAATGTACGTCAGTGGGCCTTGCTTTTGTACGCAAAATTAAACATACATTCACATATTACACAGCTCTAATACATTAGAGGTTAACGTTTGGTTTAAATAATATTGAGCAAATTTCGTGAGGATTCGGCGAGTGGTAAGAAAATTAGAATGAATTAGATAAGAACAGATACTTTAATAATTAATAAAATTAGAAGTCCTAGTTACAACATTTAATGCAGTCGATAGTTGTAAAAGTATCAGCAGCAGCAGTAGTAGTAGTACTAGTAGTAGTAGTAGTAGTAGTAGTAGTAGTAGTAGTAGTTGTAGTAACAGTAGCAGTGGTAGTAGTAACAGTAGCAGAACTAGTACAAAGGGTGGTGGGGATGGTAGTAGTAGTAGTGGTAGTAGTAGAGGCATTAGTATAGTATAGTAGTAGTGATGGTGGTAGCTGTAGTAGTAGTAGTAGTAGTAGTAGTAGTAGAAGTAGTAGTAGTAGTAGTAGTAGTGATGGTTGTGGTAGTAGTAGTAGTAGTAGTAGTAGTAGAAGAAGTAGTAGTAGTAATAGTAGTAGTAGTAGTAGTAGTAGTAGTAGTAGTCTTTGCGTATAATGCAAGTAGTTGATGTAGTTGATGATGGCAACAGTACCTGTATCCGGACAAATCTGGTAAACTCGCCTGTCCAGTGATTACTGTGGATGTGATGTAAACAGTAGTATTGGCATGACGTCAGTAGTACTTACATAATTGTTGATTGTTATGTGAATATATGGGTGAAGTGTACATGTAGTAGGTGAGTTGAGGTGAAATAGGGTTTAACGTCGCGTTCAAGACTATTGCACTTACATAACGATGTACATACACGTGTGTGTGTTTTCTTGTACTAGTCCGGACTAATGCCGGTGTTGTACCGCCAGCCCACTGAGATACCATGCCGCAGCCTAACATGGATACCCCAATCAGACACAGTGTACCGACTCCGAGCCCTAAATGCCAAATACCAGACGGTAACAACAAGTACCCACCAGACGTGTCCACGGGATCGTAATACCGGTCGAAAGGCAGCGCTCCATGCACTGGTGGTCTTTAAAAGTCGTATTGGTATGGCCTCAGTAGTAGCGGTGCGACATTTTAGTGAATGAGTATGGTTTTACGCCGCTTTTAGCAATATTCCAGCAATATCACGGCGGGGGACACAAGAAATGGGATTCACACATTGTATCCAAGTCGGGGATCGAACCCGGTCTTCGGCGTGACGAGCTAACGCTTTAACCACTAGGCTACCCGACCGCCCAGTGAGGCATTTGTAGTAAATCCCACAGAAGCACAGCAGCAGAAGTTGTTTGATGTCGTATTATGGACTAAGTACGAAATGTGGTAGCTTACTAACAGCTGACTAGTGTTGGAAGTGTTGTTAGTGTTAGTTATTTGAGCAGTAATAATGTACTTGTTCTTGCATGTGCTGTGACGTATAGCAGGCTCACCAAGAGCCGACTCACGGGATCGGGTGGTCAGGATGCTGACTTGGTTGATGCATGTCATCGTATCCCAATTGCGTAGATCGATGCTCATGATGGCAATCACTGGATTGTCTGATCCAGATTCGATTATTTACAGACCGACGCTATATATAGGAAATATTGCCTTGTGCGGCGTTAAACAACAAAGAACCATCAGATCTGTTACTCCCATGTGTCTAAACCCCTGTGGGGGCACGGGTGGCCCAGTCGTCTAAGGCGCCGCGAATCGCTGTGCAGAGTTGCGTCCCTTAGGCACGCCAGAAACGTATGATTGTGGGTTTCAATCCCGGTTCGCCCCGATTATGTTCTTAGGTTTGTCAGCACCATTACGGTGCTCGTGGGTTTTACGTAAAGCTGACACGCCGTGATATAACTGGAATACTGTTAAAAGAGGCGTTAAAACCCAACCCACTCACTCACACTCACTCTTCTCATGCTTATAGTTATACTGAGTGTTGTAGCATCATGGAAACAATAAGGTTCATGTAGAAAGCAAATGTATTTCCATTTATGTACATTATCACATACAAATTGCAAATGAGAAAATAATTTAAAAATAGACGAACATCCAACAAATTCCTCGACAACATTCAACATCATCTGTGACAACATACATAAGGACACATGACAACAACAGCACGGTATACAACACAGGGATCCAACTCGTATACGCCTTCAAAAGGACGCTCCGAATCCAGAGCACATCGGGATTCGTCCTAATTATGTTCAATACCAACTTAAAAACAACAATATCTTAACTACAGCAACACAAACCTATGCCGGGGCCTGCCCTAAGCTTCAAACTACACGACAAGGGACAACATGGTTTACCCAAAATGAACTATAAACACGAAGGTTTGTTTTCCATTGAATTAATTGAACAATACTTAAATTAGGACAATAATTAGGACACACTCTGATTCACGTGTTACATTTATATCATTACGGTAGATGTATTATGCAAAGCATTATGCTAGGCGAGGGCAATCTAAATATAAATTTGCAGTTTCTTCTCGTTGTCTGAAGTGTTGAGTGATTTTGAATGAGCAACATCTGGCAATGTAACTTCGTTGGGTCCGTTTATTTGCTTTGATTGGAGTTTATATCAATGCTTCAGTGTGATGGTTTTCTTATTAAATGATCCGCATGTGATCGGGTGGTGCGTGTTTACTTTGGCGGTTCCGTGGAACAGTGCTTGATGACCTTCACCTGAAAACAAATAATAATAATAATAACAATAATAATAATAATAATAATAATAATAATAATAATAATAATAATAATAGTGAGTGAGGTTTAACGCCACTTTAAGCAGTATATTCCAGAAATATCACGGCGGGGGACACCAGAAATGGGCTTCACACATTGTACCCATGTCGGGAACCGAACCCGGGTCTTCGGCGTGACGAGCGAACGCTTTAACCAAACATGATCCCTCTTGGTTGTAGCATCGACGACGACGATAATAATAATAATAATAATAATAATAATAATAATAATAATAATAATAATATAAAAAATAAAAAAATAAAAAATAATTAAGTCTTTAAACATGTTGATCCCATTTGGTTGTCTACCTTGTCATGTGGTTCATGTAGGTGTAGTCATTCATTCAACATAAACTCCGTTGTCACGAGAAGACAACGCCTGATTCAGGCATCAAGGTCCCCCATAACTTCGGGTGTGGGCGATGTCGATGTCACTCACACGCTGCCTCACTCACGATGTGACTCACTCACTCACTCACACACACATACCAAAATCACCAAAATACCCACGAACCCAAACACCCAGCCACTTACTAACGCACCAACTCAAATTAATCATTCAATCAATATTTGGATTGGCAGCTGATGAGGACAGGTTAAGAGAACGTGTCAGGTAATAAAGTCAGTTGATATTTATAAGTTAATTCCTGTTGTTGTTTTCATGTTGTTGGTATTCTTCATTATTTATAGTGTGGGCTTTACTTACGTAGTCGATGTAGCCATTGAAGTCTTGGCTGTAGTCGGACATAAAGGGGTCACCTCCGATTGACAAGTTACAAGTTGTCTTGGCAATGTTTCCTGTAAACAGACAAAACAAACATGTGGCTACATACGCTTGTTATTGTTTGACAACATATTACGAATGGTGAATCAGCTCTTGAGAAAACTCATGTCAATTTCTCGCGTTAAGTGTCGTTCTAGACCCATGAAGATCCTGGGTTGAATAGGTCTTCAGCAACCCATGCTTGTCTAAAGAGGCGACTTTGCTTGTCGTAAGAAGCTACAAACGGGATCGGGTAGTCATGCTCGCTGACTTGGTTGATGCATGTCGTCGTATCCCAGTTACGTAGATCGATGCTCATGGTGTCAATCACTGGATTGTCTGTCCTTACTCAATTATTTAGGGACTGCCGTCATATAGCTGGAATATTGCTGAGTGCGGCGTTAAACAACAAACAAACAAACAACAGTCGTTCTGTACATAGGTTGCGTGGGCCTATGTTGATTCCATTAACCTCCGCACAGACCTGATACACAGACACAATTATGAGAAGTAGGCTAGGTTATTGGTCACAACACTGAGGACCGAATTTACATCCCTCTTATCAGTTAAAAACATTGCCTACAAATAGCACAGAGAAAGGTTTGCGTCATAATAAATATGTCCTTCCGCGGTGAAGCGGTTACTGGAATAAGAGGCATGTTACTGTGGTTTGAAACCTCAGATTACACAATCAGATCCAAGATGGAATGAGTGAGTGAGTGAGTATGGTTTTACGCCGCTTTTAGCAATATTCCACCAATATCACGGCGGGGACACCAGAAATGGGCTTCACATTGTACCCATGTCGGGAATCGAACCCGGGTCTTCGGCGTGACGAGCGAACGCTTCAACCACAAGACTACCCGACCGCCCCGAAGATGGAATGAAGAAATCATATCGATGTATGTAAAAAAAAAAGTCAGTCTTGTTTATCTACCCAAAGAGATTCCTTAACGGGTAAGATAGTGGTGAAAACTATATGACAGGATCCCTGTAAATCATTGATGACACCAGCTGGTGAAACCAACCCACACCGTTGCTCCTGGTCAAGATCTGACAGGTGGGGCTATATGGGGTCTGCCCCCAAGGCACATGTCTCCGTCACTACAGCCCGGACTCGCCTACCATTCCCGGTACAGAGAGAGACAATGTCAAGCTTACCTCTACCCTTGAAGGTCAGACACTCCCGATCATTGACGAGGAATCTAGTGTCGGAATCTTTCACAGACAGTGTCAGCTTGTACCAGCCGTTGACATCCTGAAATTAGAAATAGATCACTCATTTCATTCCATGTAATTTAGAATATTGAATGTTGTTTTCAGTGTTCTGACACACGCATGGTGAAATGAAGAGTATACTGCACCATGTATATATTAAGTATCTTCTATGGTTTTGTTGAATCTATCCCACTTAAAAACTACATTTGTATTTCATCTTTCCAAGATCTGATATATGGAAACACAATACACTTAGAATAGATCTTTAGCAACCCATGCTTGTCGTAAAAGGCGGCTATGCTTGTTGTAAGAGGCGACTAACGGGATCGAGTGGTCAGGCTTGATGCATGTCATGGATCATTTGCATGGATCGATGGTCATGGTGTCAGTCACTGGATTGTCTGGTCCAGACTCGATTATTTACAAACCGCTGGAATAGTGCTTGAATATTGTTTAGTGCGGCGTTAAACAACAAACGAACAAAGGTAATTTGGACAACCGATCCTACGATTTGGAGAATTAAATTCACTGAATTTATAATTAACTAAACGAGGTCTTACCGATTCCATGTTTTCACAAACACCATTGGACAAGTAGTCGGTCCTGACAGCGACATAAAAGTTGCCCTCCTCGGCGTTGAACGACATGATCACCGACGTCTCGCCGGTGGAGTTGATGTCGCAGCCGTTGGACAAGATCACTCTTGTGACGTTGTCGCGGTCAGCGACCGGCTTAATGCGGACTTCGATAAAAGCCGTGTCTGTTAGATCGTTGCCGTTGAGGTAGGGGATGTCGATGGAGTTGTAGACGAAGTCAGCAGCGTTGTTGTTTACCGTTGCACCCTCTGATTGCACGACTTGTATTTTGTTGATGTTGTTTTCTTGGCGGACGAAGTTTCTGCCGTCTTCATAGGCGTTGCTTGTAGCGTTGTAAACATAGTTGACGAGTGTCTTGCAACCACCTATTAATATGAAATATGAGTGTAAACATATCAGAATGTATATATATATTATAATATTCAGTATTCAACTGGTGAGGGGGCAAGAATTGATTGATCACCTATAATTCATTCAAAAATTGACGGCAATATTTATTGCGCCAATACTGTTGAAATCCGCGTATTTAAGAAAAAATGTGCACACCGGCATTTATGTTTAAACCTCCGTTAACACAAAAACTCAATTATGTCAATTATTATCAGTTACGTCGATAACTTCATCCCACATGTATTACCGCATGACACACCCGAATACCCGAAGACCCGGGCTTGATCCCCGACACGGGTACAATGTGTGAAGCCCATTTCTGGTGTCCCCTGCCTTGATATTGCTGAATAGTGCTAAAAGCGGTGTAAAACCATACTCACTCACTCACTCATGACATACCCGCACGATTATTATATTTGTTTTTGTAAATAGATTGGACGCGTGTGTTCCTGACAATAGCTAAAGTACAATATTTTTCTGTTTTATTTCAGACATTTCGTATTTGTCTGATCTGATTGTTTAATAACAGTTGTCAAAAAAGGTACCATGATAAAAGGAAGTATTCAAAGATTGCAAACACCGTAACATCAGTAATGTACCTGACTACTTTAACCCGGGAACACCTGTAATATACCGGACTACTTTAACCCAGGAACATCAGTAATGTACCTGTCTACTTTAACCCAGGAACATCAGTAGTGTACCTGTCTACATTAACCCAGGAACATCAGTAATGTACCTGTTTACTTTAACCCAGGAACATCAGTAATGTACCTGTCTACTTTAACCCAGGAACATCAGTAATATACCTGTCTACTTCAACCCAGGAACATCAGTAATGTACCTGACTACTTTAACCAAGGAACATCAGTAATGTACCTGACTACTTTAACCCAGGAACATCAGTAATGTACCTGTCTACTTTAACCCAGGAACATCAGTAATGTACCTGACAACTTTAACCCAGGAACATCAGTAATGTACCTGTCTACTTTAACCCAGCAACATCAGTAATGTACCTGACTACTTAAATCCAGGAACATCAGTAATGTAGCTGACTACTTTAACCCAGGAACATCAGTAATGTACCTGTCTACTTTAACCCAGGAACATCAGTAGTGTACCTGTCTACTTTAACCCAGGAACATCAGTAATGTACCTGTCTACTTTAACCCAGGAACATCAGTAATGTACCTGTTTTCTTTAACCCAGGAACATCAGTAGTGTACCTGTCTACTTTAACCCAGGAACATCAGTAGTGTACCTGTCTACTTTAACCCAGGAACATCAGTAGTGTACCTGTCTACTTTAACCCAGGAACATCAGTAATGTACCTGTTTTCTTTAACCCAGGAACATCAGTAATACACCAAAAGGAAACTTACTTCTGCCTAATAAGTAAAAGGCGTTTCTTGGAACATCCTTATCATGGAAACTCTTCATTCTGAACGAGGAGCTGGGTTTTTATGAGATTTTAGTGGGAACGGCATCGTCCGGATTATCAGGGTTTTCCTGAATTACAATATGCAGGTCTCCCTCTGAGTGAGCATGGATATGTCACCGGGATGTATGCAGGCAAGCGGAAAACATGTTAACTTGTCAAATACTTTCAACCTTCTTAATCAATGTTTGATGGTTTATGATTGATTTACCTGTTTCATGTTTCCTACTGAAATGGCAACACTTGTTGATTTGAGATAAAACACATATTATTAAACTGGATCACAAAAAGAACCAGGGAGCAATTATGCATTAGAAAACATGTACAAAACCTACAAAAAGATATCATTTAAGATTCGTCCCAACAAAATCAACATATCGTTTCTTTGTTTCTTTATGCATATATACGTACTGGTGAAGGCAGGCAGTGCCTTGATAGCGTCCACTGCCGAGGCCTTGGTTGGGGGGTTGTCACACATGCACTTCTCCTGATTCCACACCAGTCCGTAGGGGCAGTACATTGCGTACTCCACGGGGCCCACGGACATGATGAACATCCCGGTGTTAGTAGGGTGGGACTTGTGGGGGCAGTAGCAGAAGCAGCCCGTCAAGTTGAGGGACATGGTCTTGCAGTCTTTCGGTTCCAGTTTGCACACTGAATACATAGAAATAACAATGGTTGTCAGTAATAAAATAAACCGTAGATTTTTCACCTAGCATTCGAAAGCCCGCCTTACTTCCACCCAGACACACACACCCAGCATCCCCCCCCCCCCCCCCCCCTCTCTCTCTCTCTCTCTCTCTCTCTCTCTCTCTCTCTCTTTCTCGCTCTCATACCTTTGATTGCATTGTCACTGGCTGTAGTAGTCGCGACAGTGGTTGTTGTTGGCTCCATGGTTGATGTTGCTGGTTCCGTTGTCGTTGCTGGTTGCATGGTTTTTGTTGTTGGTTCCGTGGTTGTTGTTGTTGGTTCTGTCGTTGTTGTTGTTGTTGGTTCCGTGGTTGTTGTTGTTGGTTCTGTCGTTGTTGTTGTTGCTTCCGTGGTTGTTGTTGTTGGTTCTGTCGTTGTTGTTGTTGGTTCTGTGGTTGTTGGTTCCGTGGTTGTTGTTGTTGGTTCTGTCGTTGTTGTTGTTGCTACCGTGGTTGTTGTTGTTTGTTCTGTGGTTGTTGTTGTTGTTGTTGGTTGTGTGGTTGTTGTTGTTGCTTCCGCGGTTGTCGTTGTTGGTTCCGTGGTTGTGGTTGCTGCTTCAGTTACTGTTGCTGGTTGCGTGCTTGTTGTGACTTGTTCTGGTGTTGTTGGAGCAGCCTCAGTAGATGACGTAGCATCGGAGACGGCTGTCGTGGTTGGTTGGGTGATGGTAGCTTGTATCGACCCACGGATCAGAATACTCAGAACAACAATAGCGAGGACTGCCTGACCTTTAGCCATTTTGCAACTGTAAGAGAACGTTCGAATTGAGCTATCAAGAACACACAAGGCTATGAATGTTTTACACTTTCCACTTAAAACCAACGATCACGAGGTCGTAAAATTCGAGCTACCGATAAGCGGATTCTGACATGGATAAGGGACGCAACTCTTCACGGCACCTATAACCAAAAATACAAAACGTCAACGCCAGAGAATATTCTCAATTGTCTGCCGAATCAGAATCCATTGGGCGTCAACGCCAAATAATTATGAAAATTATATGACCCAGGTGTTCGTGAAGAGGGCGAACGTGTCGTTCTCTGACGTTCCATGACGTTCAAAGAATTCGTTCTTTTCCTCTCAAATAGCCTAAAACCTGGAATATTTATTCTACAAAAGTATACAGCGTTTTGCACCTACAAAACGTCAGCTAAAGCTGAACTAGCTCATGACAGAGACCCTTTGACACTTACAGTAATATATCGCTTAAATAAGTTATTTTCGTATTTATCAAATACCTAGTGAAGTAAATTAGCTGGAGGTGGTGGCAAAAAAACACACGCGAGAGCCATAAAATACGAATCGATCAAATGATGACAAGAATAGGCTGCTTTTGAAAGTAAAGTAAGAACGTCTCAAGCCTTAGAATGATATATTGAGGATTAAACACTCCAAGCGAGCCAGGACAGAGGTAACAACGACCTGGAAGGGGCGTGTCACTTCCATGCAGACTGAAGCGATACATCACGTCACGTGTGTGTGTCTGACGTCAACTTTAACGGAAACATTGTACAACGTTTTCTTTTGTCTTGAGATAGGGAGCATCTCATGAATGACTATACCATTTAGTCATGTTGGTTTAGGTTATAATAAATTCGAATGATACTGTTATTTAATGTAAAATGTTTAAGATTATAACTGAAATATATCTGTTTCTAAAGTGAGGTTTTTATGTGAAAAGATTTCTGAGAATAATTTATTTTTTTAAAATTTAATGTCGATTAAATTTCAAAGCACTAACTTGAATGGCGTGTTCTACAACTGTAGATGTCATTTGTCTGATAGACTTTCCACAATTAAGAATATATTGATAGCTGGTCATCTTGCGCAAATTGCAGGCAATACTTTTGAGAGTCTCCCTGACAATTCGTGACGTGGTTTTAAGCTGTAAGTGGTCTAGCTGCTACCAGGAGACAGATGGTGACTGCCAAGTCCGTGACATCATATCAACGTCACACTATTATGTCCCTTACTGTAATGTAAAGTAGGTTATGCAACATGTCACGTGACACGTGACCCAGCATGCTCTTACTGTGGAAAGGTAAAGGTACTTGTTAAACTGTTGGTCACTAAATATTATGAGGACATGGCTCAGGTCAGTTGGCAGGTCTTATTGTTTACCTGCTGGATAAAAGTATGTGATGGATATCATACTAACCATTAATGATTCAGATTTCTTGGCACGGAACAGTGGAACATGTCTCCCAAAAAGTCGAGACAGACGCTTTTGACGCCATGGATTTATTAACATAACCTCAACGCTTAGGAGTAGCCAGTCTCGAAACAGCCTCTACTGCCGAAACAGATATCACATGACGTAAACGCCAAAATAAAGATGAAAAATATAGAAATGAATTATTGAAAGTCAGGGATGACACGGATGTTCGCAAAAAGGTTAAGCATGTCCTGTCCATCGAGTGTTACCTTATACCTACCGGTCGAAGTAATTGTAGCGATATAGGTAATACTAGGTCGTTCAATGTCTTTACATCTGGTATGTTTTTAACTTTATGTTCATTTTTTTAGTTCAAACATATTTTATTCTCATGAAAAGGATTGGGCATAAGTTATCACAACTTAGAACTCCCTCTCCCAATGATTTACATGTATGCTTATTTACAATTAATAAATTAAATGAGTGAAACGCCAAAATAAAGATGAAAAATACAGAAATCAATTATTTAAAGTCAGTGATGCCACGGGTGTTCGCACAAAGGTTAAGCATGTCCTGTCCATCGAGTGTTACCTTATACCTACCGGTCGAAGTAATTGCAGCGTTCATCGTCCATACATCTGGTATGTTTTAAACTTTATGTTCATTTTTTTAGTTCAAACATATTTTATTCTCATGAAAAGGGATTGGGCATAAGTTAAGAAAGAGATAGGGAAACATGTACATTTCTTGTACATGACGTATGAAGTATATATATAAACACGTGTGCGACTTCTTTACGTAATACACCATATGCATATGGGCGCACGACGTTCATCCTTTACGTCCTAAGAAAAAACACGTCTTAATCCGATAAGTGACATGTGAAATATGTGTACCTCTGTTCGGTAATGTCCGCCGGTATTTTTAACAGACGGTGAAGTTTAAGATAATCATGGACGACTGAAATCAGCAAAATATGTATTTAATATTACTATATTTAAAAACGAATCCAGGTGTGTTTTACGTTGATTCTACATTTTTGAAGGTTATAATTATAACATTAATATGTAGCATATTTTTATTTCCGTTGTTTACAAATAAATTACTTTTTGTTGTAATCTGAATTGTTGCGTTTTTTCTGGCGGCTGTATTTCGCTAAGATCCAAACTGTTTATACTGACTGAGTGGTCTTGGCATGTTAAACGTTTACATTCCAACATGTGGATGAATGATAGGAACGGGCATTGCACATACAATTTGCAGAACAATTAACGTGTAGTTACGTTCAACCGTTTGTTGTTTCCTGAAGTTTGAGCAGGAACAGCTAGGAGGCTGTTTGTATTGATGTAGGGGTGTGTCGGAAGAACGCTGGTGTAGTTACACCATTTGATTGTCGATTGCACAACACTGACTGTGGTATCATAAACACGTTACTTGTTGTGAGCATCTGTTTTCTTGAACGGTTTCTCACTTTAAGCTTTTACTAAATTAATGATATTTTTCGAAATAGGATATATTATTTCATTATATCTTACTGTGAATGTGGTGCCAATTTATGCATTATTTCAAGGCGGAAATTTTAAATTCATACAAAAGTATCAATTAATTTTGGAAAGGTATTGTGTCACGCTTGCCATCAGTCATATGTTTCATGTTTATAAACCTTGGGTGTGTGACCAAAGAGTTTGTTCGTTTGTTCGTTTGTTTAACACCGCACTAAAAATATTCCAGCTGTATGACGCGGTCTGTAAATAATCGAGTCTGGACCAGACAGTTCAGTGATTGGCACCATGAACATCGATCTACGCAGTTGGGATACGATTAAATGCATTGGCCAAGTCAGCGAGCCTGACCACCCGATCCCGTTAGTCGCCCCTAACGACAAGCATGGGTTGCTGAAGACCAATTATAACCCGGATATTCAAGGGGAATTGATAGAACAGGGAGGTATATCAACTTGAAGTTTATCAGAGGCTACAGTGTATGAACCAACGCACCATTCAATTTGGTATAACTCTAACTGTCATACTAGTTGTTGTTGTTGTTGTTTGTTGTTTAACGCCGCACTCAGCAATATTCCAGCGACATGACGGCGGTATATAAATAATAGAGTCTGGACCAGACAATCCAGTCATTGACATCATGATCATCGATCCATGCAATTGGGATGCGATGGCATGCATCAACCAAGTCAGCAAGCCTGACACCCGATCCCGTTAGTCGTCTCTTACGACAAGCATGGTCGCTTTTTACGGCAGGCATGGATTGCTGAAGACCTATGGTATACTAAGACAGACGGACAGTTACTGCACTATTACCTGCGAAAACGCAAACATGCGTAAATTAAACCCAAACTGAAGATGGATAATTACAACATATAAACAACAATGGAATTGTTGACATTTTCGTTCGATGTGCAAAAAGGAAATATACCCTAATAGTTTGCGTTCCTTTACTAAATATTACCATTTACCGAATCAGTCTGATACAGGTGTTGACCTCAACACGATCTGTTTGCCAGTGCCCCTTTAACGAATATTTGATGAGTGTCAGATGACCGGGAGGACCTGGGTCCTTCGTGCTATTTGCCAGCATTACACCAAACGTGTCGCTAATCACTGACGTCAATGGAAACACCACACTACTTCTTGCCAGTTGACAAATATCACACGGTGCCGCCAATATTGTCATCGGTACGAGGGCGGCTGCCTCACAGGCTCAGAAGCCTTTCATTCTGCCAACGGACACCGACCAAAGTTTGTTTGTTTGTTTTTAAACGTCGCACTCAGCAATATTCCAGCAACATCACGGTCTGTAAATAATCGAGTCCGGACCAGACAATCAAGTGATTGACATCATCGATCCACGCAATTGGCATACGATGACATGCATCAACCAAGTCAGCGAGCCTGACCACCCGATCCCGTTAGTCGCCTCTTACGGCAAGCATGATGTGCGGAAGACGACTAACGGTATCTTTTTTGCCAGGCTCGCTGACTTGGTTGATGCATGTCATCGTATACCAATGGCTTGGATCGAGGCTCATGATGTCAATGACTGAATTGTCTGTTCCAAACTCGATTATTTACAGACTGTCGTCATAAAGCTGAAATATTGCTGAGTTTGGCGTTAAACAACAAACAAACAAACATAAGATGAAAATGGCAGTGTCATCA